ACTCTACTGAGTTTGTTTACTCCCACCCTCAGAGTCTGTACGGACACTTGGCATTCGGTCGTACGTTGACGTCATAACCAATAGGTTTGCGATTGTGATCCAGATATTTCTAACCTTTCTTGTGATATAGAAATTTCTAGGCAATATTTGCTCCTTTGAACAAATATTTTACAGAAAACTCTCGTATATAAAGTGATGCAGGTGCTCCTGAATTGTGTAATTTATTCAGTCTAATAATAACATATTGCAAACTTTGAAAAACATCGATATGCCGAGATAAAGAAGCACGTTCAAATCCTGATGCTTTGAGTACTTTGCTTGAAAAATGTCCTTAACTCCAGACAGTAGTGCTGCTTATTAATTTGTTAATACTGAGGCATCGATTCTTCAAATTAAGTGATCTTCCTTTTGGGACTAAACTCTGTAAAGGACCGTGGACCGGGCCTTATCGAAATAACAAATTAACCAGTTTGGGTTTTTAGAAACCACCACACTGACCAAAGACGTGAACTGTCTGGATTCATCTAAACTAAGTTCTGTAATAGCTATATGGAGTTCACCTAGCCTTATCATGTGCTTATGGAAAGACTAAGGGCCTCATGACAAATAATTGCAAGGCAAGGAAAACCCTGGTTGGTGCGTTTGAAGATCCTTTGTTCTCGAACAAAATTTGTAAAAACCCTACAAACCATCCACATTTGCTAAGGGTTGCTGATGACAGAAAAATTGTCAAAATAAACAGTTTTTACACTAACGCGGATGGGCCCTTACTTGTAAATTAATCTCACAAAAAGGGGGCTCTTATTTACGCCCGCTTGTCCATTAACTTTGTTTTTATCATTTTAATACTAGTTAATTGACCTTGGTAAAACGTCAGGTGCATAATCATTCCCGTTTCATTATTAAAAATGTTTTTAAATTGAACCAGTAATATTCGTAAGACATTATTTATTTGTCATCACGGTTCTAAGGGGCCGACCATTTGACTTTTGAGGGTGGGTATGGGTGATTTCAGAAAAAAACAAAAAAACAAAAACAAGAACAGAGTAATTTGAGGGGAAAGATTTTTTTAAGGAAATACCTGAGGAAAAAAATCTTACACTGAAAAAAATATCTTTCATGGCGCTTAATGTGGAAAAAATCTGACATATTTGCTTGTCACGGAAAAAAAAATTTAATTCTATCGCCAGAGGTTTGGCAGGAAAAAAGTTCTTACCCAAACCAAATCACCCATACCCCCCCGCTCCTTCAAAAGTCAAATGGTCGGTCCCTACTAACCCTAACGAGACCAGTCATATACCAAAACAGCTGCTGCATTAGTTTGCATTATATTGTTACGTGTTGGTCATATTTCTCACGTTTCTTGGACGTGAAGGACCTGCCTTTTAAGTAGAAAAAAGCCTGAATCTTATAGAATTGCAGAGTATTCGTATCTGACCATTGCTTCTCGTAAAATTCATCGACGTACACACTACTATCCTTAACTGGAGTTCTTAAAACTTAAGTGAACGTACGCCAACACGTATCTCCTCTGAAGGCACCTGTAACTTTGAACCTGTGTTAAAATCGACTCTGAGGAGCCGATTACTTATCGGCTCTTCGACTCGAATGCAATCAGAAACAAAACAAAAAAAAAACCGAAAGCTTAACATCTATTTTCAGAATGATGTTATGACTCAAAAATTGCGCATGAAAATTCCGAGAAAGAATTGGATAAAGGACGCCAACAAAGGAGGCGGCGAAGAGCAAAGTTCCTTTTTTGTATTATATATCCTTTAGTTAAACAAGAAGAAACAGATATAACTGGACTAAAATAACCTACCGATTGAAATGTAAAGAAGGAAGGCGAGAGCAAGCAGGATTTTCATGCTGCTAAGAAGTTGAAGTTAAAATGACAGAACTTGCTTGATCTTTAATTTTGAAAGTGTTTTATCAAACACATAGCACAGACGATGTCATCCACTGCTCTGCTTTATTGATACGTGCCAACATTTATTGGAACGCTTCATCATTTCAGTCTACTAACTTCCTCAATACGAAACGATGTGATTGGTCAACTATTTTAATTTACCAATTATACATATTTCGCCTTCCAATTTCTTATAATACAACAGGTCGGATGGCTCAGGTGAATTAAGGCATGGTTCCTCAGTTACATGCGCGGTTCATTGATTTGATCTTTTCCAGTATCTACCTTCATTTTAACATTAGACAGCTGTCTTTAAGACCAGAACCACTTTGGACCTTAAACACTACCTTTTTCAGATCACGTGACCAGCCATGCCCATAATCCACCGTACCTAAAAAGATGGCGACTGGTACATAAACCCATAATTCTTAGCGCATGAAAACCCTAAAATTGGTCATAAAAACGCACAGAAAAGTTTTATAAACTTCCAGCCTAGGATACGCAATGTTGCTATTACAGGGACGACTTTCGCCCCCCCCCCCTCCAAAATGTGACCCTATGTGTAATTGGCCGTGTTAGGTTCGAAAGGAATTGTGGTAAAATGTACATGTATCTTTTTCCGTACGGTGAATTTTGCAAAATTTGGACTTTGCAGAGTTACACCACTTTAATGAATTTGACCACAATCGTTTTTCCTTCCATGATATTTTATTTACAGTCAAATAAGCTAAATTAATAGGGGATTTGTGAAATGATCCATTCCTTCGTAATTATTAGATATTTTTCTCTCGTCCCAGTCTTCCTCCTTACAAGAAACGTTATAGTTTACAAAACGTAGATAGTTTAAGAAAACCCCGATTAATTCCACGAACTTTTTGTCAATAGTCATTGACAAAAAAAGATTAAATAACAAGTGTTATTTATAGAGTGGTGGAGTTTGGATTGAAATGAAAAGTCAAAAATGGGTGTGACAAGTCACGTGACAAAGATAATACATTTGTAATAATGAAAAATGAATCCTTATGGGGAGTAGATATTAAATTTGCAATATGTATGCGAAAGGTAAAATCCTTACTAAAACAGTCCACCCCCCTCCAAATTTGCAGTGCCCCATTCCTGAATTCACCGAAGAGGATAACCAGACTCAGGTGTATTAAGGCGTGGGTCATTTAATCGAAATTAGGGTAGCCTGGAACTTGGCAGTGGTGGAAAAAGGGAGAAAACGGAGTGGAACGGCAAAACAAAACAAAGCAAAAGAAGACAAAAGACAAAAGAACCAAGCGTACGAAGCAAGCCGAGCATCGCAGTATTGGTTGCTTCTCTTGGCGATTTTTTTTCTCGCTTTTTCCCTCACCGCCTCGCGGAGCCTGATCCCAGTCAAAATTAGGGGACCGTTAACGGAAATGAAGCGGGGTAGTCTTTCTACTATACAATATAATTTAGCCAAGTCAGTGATATAAAAAAAGAGAAACGTAAAGCCAGAATGCGCGCCAGAGCCAGGCTCCCTTCTTGGAACCCAGGAAGGATTCAATTCGTAAATCCCCTATTAAGACCCCCCCTCCCCCCCACCTCTTCAGGGGAAGGAAGTTAATAAGCCCCCATCCCGTCCCAAATTAACAATTCTTCCTCGAACCAGAATAGGCTCTGAGTCGAGGCTATTGACTCAGAGGCCATGAGGGCGAGAGGAATAATGGTTTATCGCGAAAAAATACTTTAGAAGACTTAAAGCCATTGTTTTGGTTTTCAAAGCCGGCGCTTTTCGCTACTAGTGTGTTATAACATATAGCCTAGTAGTAGCTCAACCAATCAGAACGCAGCTTTGATAATGGACCACTAGTTGATTATTTTGTTAACTTAATGATAAACTGCATTAATCAATAAAAACTGTAAAACTTCGTGTGGACTGGATCCGAGATAGTTTATTAACCAACTGGAAGTTCGGATTTGTTTTTGTTCGTCTACTGCATGACCTTCAACGTTTTGTATTTGAGCCGTTCCTTTTTGTATTCTACGCAGGCTGTGATTGGTCGTTGCCCATGATCTATTGGAGTACAGATACATGGATGACGTCACGGGAAACTTCTTTTCTTTGCTTTGTTCAACATGGCACGCGATTTTGAAAATGTTTGTGAGATTATTTTGGATTAATGCAAGTGAAAGCCTCGAAAAAAATTAGCAAGAGCTATTTACAAAGAAAAAAAACGGAGAAAAGGAGCGAAAAAGAGCTCTTTACAACTTAAGAATGCCTAAACTACAAAAAATCTTCACAACAGTAGTTGCCATCGTGTGTCATTACGAGAGACTCGCTGTTTTGCAAAAATGTTTTCGCCATTATTCTGCTTTGAACAAAAAAAGACGTTGAAACTTTTCGAAGAACCCGTAGACAAGTAAGATAAAGAACATAAGAAGCAGAGACAAAATATAGTGTTTGGAAAAAATGCCTTAGCTAGCACAGATCTTCAAACAGTCAAGCGGTATGAGGCAGGTATGTGTATCGGTCTTTTTTCTTTTCTGATCATTGTATAAAACAAATAGATTCCATGTTGCCGTGGGTCTGTTCAGTAATAGATCACAGAGGATGTGAAATGTGGTAAGTACATCAGTGACACACTCGCTTGCGGCTCGTGTGCCACTTCTTTGTTTTTACAACATTTTGACGTCATCTGTGATCTATTACTGAACAGACGCACGGCAACATGGAATCTATTTGTTCTTAACCATCCTCTTTGTTAAATTAAGGTCTCCCTCTCTATGAAGCCCACCCCGTCAATTTTGTTTGAAATAAATACCCCCCGGGGGGCTTAATGTAGGATTTATTGTACTTACAGTGGATCCCACGGACAGTTTCATTTGTTCCGACGAAAAAGATCGTATATTTTCTCCAAAATAAACTCGCTGAATACGGACATTCTCCTGTCTGAACGTCAAGCCCGTTTTACGGTTCTACATCCCGGCGGGCTGTCTAAATACCTTGATATGATAGTGCCTGCCCCTTAACCCGTCGGTGAAATATTACGATTTTCCTTTGTCCCATTCGAAGACGAGTTTCTCAACTACTTTGTGAACAAATTGCAAATTTTACTATTGCAAGCTTCAACAGTACAATGTTATAAACGTACAAATAAAAGTGAATAATAACATATTACAGTATAAGACATCCTCGTTGACCCAGAGACAGCTGACAGAAAAAATAAAGGGGAAATCACTGCCGTAAACGTTTTAGACCGCAAAACAGTCGTTTTATTCTTCTCAAAATCGCTTAAGTATAGCGTAAGCCTCACGCGCTCGAGCCTAGCACGCCCTTCGCTCTCACTTTTCAGCCTCGCCTCAGACCTTTTGCCTGTTCGCGCGTACTTGAATACGCAAAAATACTGACTGTTTTGTATTCTATAAAAGTTTACGATACGATATTGTAGTTTACGCTTAGCTTAATCAGCTAGTTTATAGGTAATCCGCGGTCCTAGTATATTCTAAGAACGATAACATGAAAGCTTCTGCTTCCACGGATTTTTCAACTGGAACCAGTTAGGGAATATCAATTTACACGGCTAAAAAGAACGCCTTAAAATAAATGAAGAGGACAGGTTTGAATGTAATTTGTTGAAAACTAACGAGGATATTGTTCCGCAAAGTCGCCAAATTTTACGAACGTTTGTATGGTGGTGGGGGTCTAAGTTCGTGAAAATTGTTTCTGGTCGATCACAAGAGAGAAATGGTTCCTGGATCTCCGAGGATGACTGAGAATAAGAATAATGATTTCAAAATCCAGAAACATTGAGCTACCTACTGCAGTTCCTTACGTTACTAACTCGCACATTTACTTGAAATCACTCGCCCTATGGAAGGGAATCCAAGACAATCTTGGATTCCGGATTCCCTGAGCTGTATTCCGATTCCAAAGCCCAGGATTCCGGATTCTACAAGCAAAATTTTCCCGGATTCCCTTACTCGGGCCGAAATCAAATTCACTATACACGAGGAACTCGTTTTTGCAAGAATTGATTCCTATCGAGAAACAATGAAAGTCAAAGAGAATTATATACAGAAAATGGCATGATGCTTTGATTGTCGCAGCTGTTTTAATCTACATGACTAACTTTAAACTAATTTAAAAAATGGCGAAAGTGTCCTTTTTTCTTCAGAGCGGTTAAGATCCCCTGACCAACCTTAAACTCCCGTTGGTCTATTGAATTGTTTAAGTTTAAATGCAGCGCTTCTGTCGATTGGCGTAGGTATTTCGCGATCGTTTTTTTGTTCTGTCTTTTTAATTCGAGCACGTTGTGATTGGCAAAATAGAAACCAGTCATAGCTTGATTAAAGGTTGTCCGCAGAAGTTTTGGGCCGTCATAATATTTGTTTTGAGATCTCATTAGTATATCGTATTGCCTGCATTTGTTCTGGAATTACAACACTACATTAAAAAATACAGTGAGAAATGCAAGGACGGGTTTTGCATGACAGAAAAGAGAGAAAAACAACGCCCCGAAGGAAAGCTCTTTGATGATAATAACGAGGTTTCGACGTGTACTTGTACTCTATCAGAAATTTCCCTTGCATCCGTAAATAGTACAAATAAATAGAGTTTCGACTTTATACTCGCAATTTCTTTCTTTTCTTTGACTGCCATTCCGGGGAACGTGGGTCTGTAAGCTCCTTATCACTGTGCTTGATTTCAACAGCGCGATATTTGCGAATTGGATTGGGTTTATGCACAAGCTGTTTCCTCAGCTCCCTGATGTAAATCTTCTCTTCCTCCTCTTTAATTCTTTCCAGCTCTTTTCTTGCCTCTTCTTCTTCCTGTTCCCTTTGCTCCTTGTGCATTTCATAAACCTCTCTCTCTTTTGCACGCTTGTCGCAGTTCATGGCGAATTCTTCGAACTGCGTGTTTGGCTTTACGATAGATTTGTCAGGAACGAATGGCGCACTGTATAGTACATTAGTGGACCTCGCTCTGAAGACTCGCTTCATTCTTTCTTCTTGAATCTCTTGCTGAAGCTAGATAAGAATAAACATGAAATTTTCAAGTAAATGTGCGCACTACTTAATACTGAGAAACGCCTTCGCAGAAAAGAAAGCCAAACCCCGAAGTGTTCAAGTTGTAGCAGCAAAATGCCGTCATCGTGCAAATTGACTATTTGTTGTTGACTCATTTTTGGCCACATCTTTTGCTGTATGGTAATGGCTAGAACATACCGTAAAATTCCGAAAATAAGCCCCTCGGCCTCCATGTATAAGCCCCCCAATCCGGTAACGCAAAAAACCCTCCGTTAAATCGTCCCTCCAAATATAAGCCCCCGGGGGCTTGTACTTGGAAAATTGCCCTCAAATACAAAGTAAAGCAAAGCAAAAGCGGTAAATTTACTTCCAACTATAAGGCTAGCCCTCTCGATTTTGAAACGCAAATTTCCCTCCGTAGATAAGCCCCTCCAAAAGGGCCTTTGAAAAATATAAGCCCCGAAGCTTATTTTCGGAATTTTACGGTAATTTGCAGTTTCAACAATTTATTGGTTCATTATCGTTTCTGGTGGAGAGTTATTCACGTCACAAGGATTAGATTAAACTCTTTATAGGCGTAACAAGACACTATGGGAGGAACATAAGTCGTTTCGTGGTCGTTTCAAAGATGACACTTAAACAAACGATCAACCAATCACATAAAAACAAAACAATACGGTCTCTGGATGATACCTTTTGTCCCCATTTTTCAGCCTTCACAGCTCCGCGGTTTTCTGTCGATAGATTGAATGGCGCCGGCTCGGTGAGACATTTCGATGACTGAGGCAAGAGGGGAGGGGAAAAACTTGGTAAAGGCTGAGCCTGGAACTCGTGTAACTGTACAAAGAAAAATAAGTTTGAATGACAATACAGTTGAATCATGCTTTACAGACAACCGCTAAATAAGGACGATTAGGGACGGACCATTAGAAAACTTATGGGGGAGGGGAGGAGGGCGAAGTACAAAAAAAAATTGAATGAAAAAAAATTATGCACGCCAATTAATCCTCAAAAAATATTCATGCTATGGCCTAAAAAAATTCATACAAGGAATTTGATAACGAAAAGAAATTCTCGAAAATTCCCCTCCCCCCCATAACTTTTCTAATGGTCCGTCCCTTATTACGCACAGTTCTATGTGTCCCTCGATAAAGCCCTTACATTTTCCTTAAATTCAACCCGCTTAATAGGGACACCCATTAACCCGAACACTTGTTTTCTAACTAATTAACGCCGTGTCACACAGAAATTAAGCCTCGCTAATGCAGACACTTTAGTGTCACCTGTGTGCTGTAATAAACCTTTCCTTTCTGAAGGGAAAGAAAGCATGTCCATGTTCCCAACACTACAGTACACTCGATAGGATGAATTTCAGACTATTTTGGTATCAAACGACTTATTCAGAGAGCGGTTGTTGATAAAGCAACGTACAAACGAGTAGTCTGAAATGTTATCCGTCTGAATTCCCAGTGTTTTAATGCAGTCCTGTCCCGTGACGTCACAGACTTTCGCGAAAATGGTAAGTCGACGCTGATTGGTGTAGAATACAAACCATTGTTACCTGCATTTATGACATTACCGTAACACAAACCATGGAAGCGGCGGAAAGTCAACGAGATCTTGAATAAATATTCGAATCAACTGTACAACATGTGTTGCCTAAGTTCGGTTTAACGGATGACATTTCAGATGAGTACATGAGTGACGTTTGTCCTGGGAAGAGTCAAACTATCAAAAGCCTACCTTTTTTTCATCGTCTATGATTGTTTTTATTTTCTCTTCTTTCTTATCTTTCAATTCTTTGTCACGCTGGTCGAATGAGAATGGCTTGGAATGTGTGCTTTGATGAGTCAGCTCAGGTTTAAACACAGTGCTGAAGTCAGGAACAGGCTGTGCTTTTATCTGCCTGGGATGATCTTCATCCTGGAAATTATTCCAATGGTTTAAAAGCGGATCAGGAAAATGCAATTTTAATCAAACCAATTGTGTGGAATTGCACAATTATACTTGCTTATGTAGCAGGCACATCGAAATTTAAGGCACACTTGTGCTGTGCTGCAAGTAATGGGGGAAGATCTATCCACCTACCCATCATCAGAGACATAGAGGTAGATAGCTATATAAAAGGGTTTATAGTCTTTTCGCTTCTTTAAAGTCCATGACCTTTTCTAGTTTTTCATGACCTTACGTTTAGCTATCACTTCCTAAAATTTTCAAAACTATTCTTGTATGTTTTGACCTATTATAGGGTCTATCAACACTAGCCATAAAGGCTTTTTACTTGGATAATTTTGCTGTCATCATCAACAATTAACAAATGTGGATGACTTGGCGCGATTTTACAAATTTTGTTTGAGATGGGACAATGTTTAAAGGCCCCACCGGCAAAATTTTGTCCTGGGTTAAAAACGGGCAAAATCCACAAAATAAACAAAATTGTGTTTTTCTTTTTAATTATTTGTTGTATTAAAAAAGCCATTAGTCTTTTCATTAATGCACTTATCAATTGAAACCCCGACCCCCCCCACCCCGGGCCAAGGTGGGGATTTGACTTGACATCATTACAAATCTTAGCAAACTCCCACCCTACTGGGGCATATTGACTGGTAAAACCCCCACCCAGGTGGGGAAACCTTTTTAATTCCCTGACTGACTTTATTAATATTTCGTTCGAATTTTCAACTTCTTAATATTGACAAATTTACTACAGCAAAAAGGCAAATATGATAACAGACCAAGATATAAATACAACAAATATTTGACAATAAGTAAACATAATGACCCCTACCCACTTATAAAAAAGTCAGGGTACAAAATGGATGATGGAGTAGCACATTGCTATAAAGTTATATTAAAAGGAAATCCGTACCATCTCCATTGAAAGTAATATCTGCAATGATAATTTTAATTGAAAATAGCAGCCAACATACCTTAACCTTCACAAGCTGATGTTATAAATAGACTGCATAAAATAGTTCCTAATAGGAGCTATATTTTTTATTTTGGCTTAAAGAATGAGGAAATATAGAACTTCAGAAACCACATGGGTTTAACACTAGACGTTAAACGAGCTGTGTCATGAAATTTACCAAAATGTAGGCTGTGGGAACTGCCACCAAATTGAGTGAAACATAAAAATAGCCGCTTAAGACATTAAAGATGGTATAAATGACTCAGCAAATACAAAAGAAGGTACAGATGGGAAAACATGAACAAGATTAAAACGGATTGAAATTTTGGTTTTTGAAAACTTGTTAACCTAACAGTTTTTCAAAGTTCATTGTTTTTGTCCGTAACGCTTGATATGCTTGGGAGAAACATCTGTTTAAAACGAAGCTTTGATTTCTTCATTTCTTTGCCAACGTAACGCTCAAAAGCGAATAGGGGCCACGTAACTGGCAATATTAACAAAATGAACCAGATAGCCGTGACACGGCACCTTTTATAATAAGTAGAGGAGTTTGTATCTGCATTGTTTGAGAAGTTTTGAATAACAATAACAATTTCCAGTCAACGAACCATGAAAGCTCAAGGCAAAATCGCAAAGGATTAGTCTCAGTGAAGAAATGAAAGGAAAAACAATTAGGAAACTTACGGCCGAGCAATACATCAAAATACCAGTGATCACGTGAAGAAATTACCGTGAGGAAACTAGGCACGAGTCAAATCCCCACCTCGCTCCCCGACTTCCATGGACTTCCATGAATATGCTAAGCAAATCCTGAGAAATCCCCCACCCCCACGGGCTAACCATCCCTTCAAATACCATAAAAATCCCCCACATTGCCCCACATAGGCCCGGGGTGGGGGGGGGGTCGGGGTTTCAATTGATAAGTGCATAAGTAATGACAGTTGTGATGGCCTGATAAGAGTAAAGGGATTCTCGGGCAGATAAATTTCTTCAAAACAATTTTTGGTTTAGATGTTTCAAAGACAATTCCAAATTTGTTTGTGAGTGCAGATGACAGCCCTATTAAGTTACTCAGTTCACCAAAATGTGCCCCATTTGCCCTTTTTGACTACATTTATTTGTCTTCTATCTTTAATATTCTGTTGCTACTTTGACATCTGCAGCAAGTAATCTACCATTGTAATAACAAACAAAACTTTAATTTCCCATGACTTTAAGGCCTGGAAAATGAAATTCTTAAATTTCATGACTTTCAAGGTTTTCCAATGACCTGTACTAACCCTGTAATAATTAATAAGAAACTTTGCAAACGCTATTAATCCTTGTGTGAATGTTTAAGTTTGTATGCATTGCGTACCTCACTGCTGGGTTTTTCTTTGGTTTTATGCACCTCTGCTCGGTCCTCAGAGTGGAAGTGAAATGGCTCGGCTTCTGTGTTAGGCTTCTTTGGTATCATGTACACACCCAATGTTCCATTGCATTCAAAGATTTTATGATTCAGTTCAGTTGCTTTGAATTTGTAACTGTTAACAGCAAAAAGATCTTTCAGTCTCAAAATTGATTAAGATTGATGGGCTTAGATAAACTGTAAGTCTCACAAATGTAATAATCATTTTTGCTCTGAACCTCATCTGTACTGGTCAGGATTTGAGTACACGCAGGTACCATGATTAGCCTGTTAAAAAAGCGATCGTTTATTCGCCAGTCAGGTGGAAGGGACATTTGAAACGCACTTCCAGTATTAAAAATTCGTTGGGCTCGCTGGGGGCCCAGAACTAGGATCTGTGTGCTGCTTTGCAAAATAGTCACTGGGTACGTAAGATTCTCTGCAGAGCATGTTGGGCAAGGTGTCCTTTATTTCTTTAGCAGCACTGTACTCTAACTATAGCTCAGGCTTAGTTTTGCTCTTGGTTGACTGGGAAATCTTTTAGTTTTTCATACAAAGCGTGCAAAGAAAGTCGTGTCCGATAGCCCGGGGCTAGTGGACTTTGTTATCGGGCTTGTGTTCTTAACTTGCCTGACAGGCAAGTGCTGTTTTTTTGGGAAAATTCAAATTACAGAAGGATTGTAATCGATCCTACTAATTAAAAAGGGTTTTGGGGCTAGTTGAAATGACTTGTGGGCTTAGGCTGTAAAACTGACTTTCTTTGCACCCTGCATACAAATCATATGCTGGGATCCCTAGGATGATAAATTTTATAAAACTTTTACAAGTGTAGCTATTACATTCATTCTAAAACAATGGCTATTATACACTTGTAAATTGTGCTTGTAAAGGTCAGCACACACTAGGTGACAAGTTGCAACAACGTGTCAGGATGACACGTCGCAGCAACTAATCGCTTTATGCGTACTGGTCTGTAACAGAATTTTGTCGTTGCAACAAGTTGCACAAATTCTGTCTGATTTGATTTTTTGCAACATGTTGCAGAGACAAAAATTTTCACAAAAATTCTCCAGTACATACGAAGCCATTTGCAACTGGTCACCCTACCTGTACACACCAAGTGATCTGTTGCCCCGACTTGTTGCTGCAACCTGTCGTCTAGTGTGTACTGAACTTAAAAGTTTTATTAGAGCAGAGCCTCGCTTGTATTTAATTTTTTTTTTCAAAAAGCAGGCTAATTCAAGTCTACACCACACCTCTTTATTTCTGCTTCTTGAAGCTTCTCTTTTTCTTCCTGGCTGACAAAGTCTGATGGCAATGGTCTTTTTCTCTCCCGTGACATCAAGTTTGGTGTCTTTGGCATAGTTAGCTTCTTTTCTCCAGAAGCTGGAGGTGGTCCCTGGTTCTGCTCATGTATTGGTTTGACTCGGAACCGCTCGGGAGTTTTTTTCTGCCACTGGTAAACTTTCTGAGCCATGGATTGGTACTGACCGCAGGGATTGTTGTCATTGTCTGGTTCTTTACGCTTTCTTGATTCGGTCATTTTGAATGGAACTGGGACAGTAAGCTTTTTGTTCTTGAATGACTGAAACAATAAATAAACAAATAAATTTAAATAAAAAATGTACTAAAGTTCTAATTAAAATAAGAATGAAATGATGTACATGGCAGAGATATGATAAAAAAGAGAGGTTAATCCAGTTTCTCAGTAAGAAATGTGAACTTCATATTTACTCTGTGCCCTCTGCTCTTTTTAGTCGAGCTTGCTTGAGCAAAGAGAGACTCTAAAAATGCAGGTTTTTTTTTTGTTGGTGGGACCTAGTTTGTAGGCCACACGTTCCTAGCGAAGACCGTGGAACTGGGGATAAGAATCGTGGCGACTTTCACTGTATGCAAATGAGTCTCGTGATTAGTATGCGGTATATTTTCGGCGATGACTGAAATGACGCTTTTAACTTTGGCAATGATGTAATTTTCCTCGAATGGAGGTCCTTGATTTTCGTGTTATTATGCACGACATGCACTTTATAAATACTTGATATATCAGGGATCCACTGTCACGTAATTTTTACGTGCGTACGTGTGAAAAATTGGTGTTCGCAAATAAAGTAGAAACAATGTATGAAAAGGTGCACATACAATTATGTAAGCGTAAAAGTAGAAACTCGCTCAACTTGACGTTTAATCTCAACACTTTATATCTTACATCTGTTTTATTTACGTGATTAAAATTTACTTGTGTTAACGTGCAGAGCCAAAAACGCGTCACTGGAAATCCACCATAACATTACGTTATGTGTCACTGATGTGTTTATACGGGTAGCTTTGAACTTGACTATCCGCGCACTCTACTTGCAGCACTTCATGTCCATAGAATAGAAATCCCATATTGAGCTTTTCCGGAACGGGTTGGTCCAAGAATTCTATCACTTGAAAGTGTTGATTATCTTGGAACAACTGATCACGTCAGTGGTCGAAAAAAAAAGAATAAACTTTAAGGTTTACTGGAAAATCAGGATCGAGGATCGAGGATCGAGGAATCAGGGTCAGGGATCGAGGATCGGTTAAAAAAAACTTGAAAATAAAATAAATAAATAAATCGTGGATCAGCGGTGATAATTCCGTTCGCTGTACTGAACACTAAATTCAAGTAAACTAATCCGGGTCTGTCTGAATCAGTGATTGTTTTGACGAGAAAGTGAGATTTTCCTGGAAAATGAAATGCTTTATCCCAGTGATACTGTAATAAAAGAAAAAAAACTTTAACAGTATTTAATTTTTAATTGTACATTTGCTTTCAGTACTCCTCAGTTTTCTTGTAATTGTTGTATGCACGACCCCACCAGCAATGCTGATCTTTTTATCGTACTAAACTGAAATAAAGTTCTTATCTATCTATCTATCTATCTATCTATCTATCTATCTACCTAACTGTCCCTCTCTCTCTCTAAAATGCATGCTGTGTACAACTCTTAACATTGTACTCCAAGACTGTACGGAGATATTAAAAGTAGTAACCTGAGATCAAGCTCTATTTTCAGTTCGGGAGTATGCCAGTTTTGGAAGAAGCGATGACGTCATGATTCCATTGTTCTGCTAAAAACACGCAAAAATAGGAAAAAATAATCGCAAGAAACAAGGGAGCTTTTTTCAAAGCCTGTTCCACTTCTCCTCGTTCAATATCCGGGACTTCCGAGCTAGCAGTACCGGTGAAGAAGCCTTCTCCTTGCTTTTTGAATGTCAAGGGAACTTTCCTGCCACATTTCGGTAGTTAAAAGCGACAGTTTTCAAATGGCCTTCGACGCCGCCGCCGCCATCTTGACGGGTATCGAATGTAAGTACATGACTTTATGTTTAGTTTTCAGTATCTTGCCGCATTTTTACGAAGTCAAGACTAATTTTCCTCAAAACTACAACGTTTAAAGTGTGTTCAGGCAAAGTTTCATCGATGGCAACAACCTAGTAAAAATGGCAACCACACATTGAAAATTGCCAACGGACAGGAAGGGTTACTGATATTGATGGTTATGCCTTAGCCTGTATATGTAGTTTCAGTTATAATCGATCAGGTCTGTTTTTGGTCGTGTTCACCGGCAATTTATGCGACTCTCATCTAGAAATCACTTTATTGATCCAGATCATGTGTGTGGAATTAGTTTTAAATCAGTGTGAGTAGGTTCTTACATTGATTTCTTTTATTTTGATCAGGATTTCCGTCAAAAATGTAGACAAACATGTGGAGATATTACAAACATGTTGTCGCGTTTTTGTATAAAAAAAGCTGGGAAAAGCAACCAGGAAGACAAAATGCTAAATATCTTCAGAACGACATATTTGTGCTCTGAGGGCAAAATATTGCTTTAGGTTTGCCTTATGTTCCACTGTAATGAAAAATTTAATGTCCAACTTCAACCCTACCTCAATAGAATTAACCATGTTTTTTTGTTTCTTTGTAGTGTGGTCACAGGCTTACCCACCACAAAAGCCCCTCCTTTGACCCTTTCAAAAATGGGTAAGAGGGAAACAGGTTGGAGGGGGGGCTTATGTACCTTGTGAGTGGAAGCTCACACTCAATGACCATTCAACTATAGAAGAGACTGTGGCCCTTATTCAAGGGGCTTTAAAGGAGATAGATGAGGAAGGAGTCATGGAAGTGGAGGCTTGTGAAGATTTTCTCTACATAATGTTCAATCCCTCGCGTCAAATATTGTTTATACTTTACAGATGCCAAATACATAATATGTTCAGTCCCTGTGCTGCGCAAAAGGTCAATCAGAAACATGAAAAATGCCACACTCTCCCCCATCAATCCCTTTACATGAGCAATAAGCCCACATTTGATGTCATAATATCGAATATGTGTGTATTTGAATAAATCCTAAATTATTGAGATTCTCTTGATGAAAAAGCATCTATGTTAATGCATCGTCTTCTACAAATCATCCTCCCTAATAAATAATACATGAGAGACATCTCACAAGATAACTATTGAAAATCGATGTCAGCTGCTACTGTCTTCATTATATCAATTAAGTTTTGGATTTTGGTTTTCATGTCCAAGAAGGTGTTAAAAAAACAAGATTTTGAGATAAAAGAGTGTGTATAATATGCGAGCCAGGTAGCCATGGCAGCGAGTCATGCAGGTCAGGATCAAAAAAACAATGTCTGGAAAGAATTAACTGTCAGGACCTAAAATAAAATGTTTATTTACAAAAAACAAAATATAACAATAAATAACTTTTATTGTATCTTTACTCTGATGTGTGAGCTTTGTTTTCTTGAAAGTGCTGTTCAATAGAAACATGAAGAACCGGCTATGAAAAAGAACTTTGGAAAACTTATGTTGTGTCCATGCCAAGGGCAGTAATCATTTATTATTTTGGGCCAAACCTTGTCTAATAGAATTGTTTGAGGGTCCCCACAGAGAAGACTTGGAGAAAAGTGCTCCTCAAAGTTACAATGCCTTTGGTTTAAAGGCAACCCCAGAGTTAAAAACAATAATTTAGTATTATTTGGATGTAACATCAAATCCCATACAAGAGGATATTTTATAACAAATCATAACCTTGTTGATCTCTGACCTCTGGGCAAATCCGTGGACTACCAAGACTATAGTATCCCATTTTAATCAATAGATCCAAAAGCATGTAAGAAGCATAATTCTTAGTTTTCCAATATGTATATTAAATTCTTAAGAGCCTCTTGCATTTGTTAAGCTTGACCAAATAATCAGTTAACTTCAGAAAGTGGAATAATTGAAAGCAACAGGTTTTTTTGAAGCGAGACAAAAAAAAAAAAATGATCTGGGATGATAAGTAAGATTTTCACTTTGTGGGTTTTCAAGAAGAAAACGCGGGCACAATACCCTCAGAAATCCCTTTGTAAACCTGTTGTATACCTGGACGGAACTGCTTCAAGACATAAACCAACAGAACATCATATTCGAAAAAAACAGATATTTTACTCACAAATGACTCGCTTGCACCAAAACACTAACCTGAATTACAGCCGTCTTCTCCGCCAGTCGCTCACTCAGGGAGAGAAACAGATGCAACGGGAAAAATTACAATGAATTATAGAACAACTCACTTTTTAGTTGTTTCCAAAGCATTCTTTTTTCCTTATGATATAAAAAAATGATGAAATAAATAGGCACAAACTTGTTAGCGTGCTTACCTATTTTCGATGTACTGATTACATACGCAGTGAGTACGCAGTACCTACTAAGCGCGATAAGTTTAAGAACTATAGCGCAAGAATGGTTACTCCCTGTCCTCAAGGTACTTCCCAATTCATAGTAACAAAAAGACAAATAAAAGGCTCGATAAAACAAGAATAAACGAGAATTTTGGTCAATACTCGTTCTTCTCCTCTCCCTTGTCCGCCATTTTGTATGTTTTGAAAATGGCCATCGCCATGGTGATCATGTTATGGTTGGTGACGTAGACCATTGTTTTCGCTTCTTCCAAAACTGGCATACTCCCGAACTGTTCGTTTTGCTTTGTAAATAACATTCCGGCGGGCATGGCGAAACGAAAAGAGAGCCTGATACAAACCTTCTATGAAACGTCTGCCGACCACTTTTTTAATTGATTGACATTTGCCGAATCAGCCAACCAAAATTACTTCCGTTGCTTGATTTTCTAGTATGCAAATTTTTCACACGTGGGGAAAAATGCAGACTGGCTGACCTAAAAAATAGCTTTCATCTGTTAATTTTTTCCGCTAAAAATAAAACAATCAGCACAATCACATTTAACTTCTTGCGAGATTAAGGGAGATCTCTAAGGTTATTTCTGTTCGTGTAGAAGGTAAAAAGTTTTCGAAAAGACGGCGACACCAAGTTCTACTAGTTTTATTATTTTGGCTAGGCATGCTCGAATTTAAAATACTGAAATTTCTATTTTTATGTTGCCTTAACATTTTCCTTGGCAATAACCAATTTTCCCCGATTTTCAGTACATAAATCTTTAAAAACAAAAGCAAACAGCTAACGAGCGAGGACACCAGTTTTCCTGGTTTGTTTTTTACAAAAAGCAAAGGCAGACAACCAGTCTGTGAACACTGAAAACTCCTCGAACAGTGTTGCGATATTTTTCATCTAATACTTTAGAGTTGGTGATTGAGGTGTCTTTCGCAGTGACCCTCCGCTTACGTACCCTGTTCAGAGAAGTCATTCCCGCCTAAACTTTCAAATGAAACCAGTTTTAAGATGGACAGTATTTTAATTTGCACCCGTTTGTTGGTAAATCAAAAGGCACCTTGTTAGCGGTCAACAACTTGCAGAGGGATTCAGCTCTGCGATACACCCACTTTCCGTAAATAAACAAATCCTGAGAAGATATGAATAACCACATGACTTTTCTGAATTTCCATGGCACATATTAAGGCATATTTTCCTACCATAAGACCATAAAACAATAAAAAAGACAGCAAAATCAATCCTTCTCTCCACCGACGACGGATCATTCATGAAAACAACCACGCAAGGAATAAGCACTTTCAACTTGCGCCGTTTCCGACAGCCAATCAGATCTTGTGGCATTGTTCTTACAGCCAATCAGCATTACGGCCAAAATCTGGCCGTAACGAGCACAAACGTGAGCCTGATCCCAGGTTATAAAAGTAGATACTAAGGAGCTATGGATAATGTAATTTCTTTTACGCAATATTGATATCCTTCAATTTTTTGAGTCTAAAATCCTTGAAAGAGAAATCCTCAATACATGGGCTTTACCATTTACTGAGGTAAAACCCCTCAATGGAGCAATATCAATATGTAGGCTAAGATGTGCGGCCCGTCTCTCCTTTCAATTTTTACTTTTTACTCTACTTACTGGAGAAGGTGGGTGCTGCCTCAAGGTACCAACAAAGTCCTTTTCTTTTTGTTCTGTTTGTGTGTGATGTGTACTAGGTCCAAGCCTGTCATCTGTTGCAAAGTGAAACTCTTTAGGATGTGTAAGATTGTCGACTGCTGATCTACATGGCATGTATGATTGCCCAGCCAGGGCCTTCTTCATGGAAACTTTGTTCTGTTTTAGCTTTTCATGAGTTTCTTTTTGTTTCTGTGCAATGACCTCCAACTCAGAAGCTTCTCTTGATTTCTGTGCTTGACTTGCCGCTATCTTTGCCTGGGGAACTCTCCTGAAAAGGGGAAGAAAGATTCATGACTGAGTTAGATGGTTTATAAACTATGATCAATTAATGTCTGCAGTATGGACAGTTTTTTAGTCCTAAAGATACTTAACAACTTCAGGCAAACAAATTGCAAGGACTTTTAAAGGATAAATAGTAGTTTCCTTGAAAGGACTAAGATTCATAGTCAATAAATCAACAATCTTTAACCCCGTTTTGAACACCTTATTGGCTAGAACACTTAATGGAGTCATTTAAGATTTTACTTCTTCAGGTAAGGTCAATCATGTGCATTATTTTATGCTAGACTAGTTTCTGTAACAACACTTTTCAAACTGACTGGGTATGACTTGCAGTTGCATCTGAGGCACATAAATACATGTAGCATATGAAACAAAGAAACAGAAATAATAAAAAAAAATTGTTCATGCACAAAAATGTGTGAGTTTAACCCATTCGCCCCTGAACCGCCCGTAACCGCCCGTGCGGATCCAGGTCCTTTCTACCCTTTGTGACGTCATCAGTTTTAACGGTCAAGGACAACTTTCTTCGCTAACTTGTGCAGGGTGAAGAGATCTTTCAAACCATACCAGAATGAGCACAATTCAGTCAAGGACACCGGAGAAAGAAGCAAAAAACCACGTGACAAGGACCTGAAAATCTCCATGAAAATCTTGTTCCATTACCCACCTACCTTTCCTTTCACCTAATCCTAAGATCCTAAAAGCTTTCCTAAAAACTCTTCCCACCAAAATGAAGCCTACTAAATGCCCAGCAAGAGAAAAAAAAAATGAGGCAAGAAAAGCGAAAAAAGAAGGGAGGAGAGAAAGCGGAAAGTAAAAGTCAAGACTGCTGTGTCACTTTTAAACCCAAAAACTATGTCCAAATTTTGCTTTCTGCGCATGCCCGAACTTCGTAAGCTGATATTTTGCATCTGGATCAGAAGGCCGCCAAGTGTACGACCTGTAAACCGGTTTGTGGTAAGTTTTAGCTCTTTATAGCAGGACAGTGACCAGAAAACCACTCGACTAGCTTCAAAACGCGTTTTTCGGCAAAATCTCCAGGAGCGAATGGGTTAATGATTACCAAGGTTGAGCCAAATTTTACTTGGCAAAATAATCTAATTTCACTGCAAGTGGTGTGGTGTAAACAAGGTAGTTAAAATTTCAAGGACTTTTCTAGACAACTACTAACATTTTTCAAGACCGTAAACTATGACCCATTTTGGTATGAACACATCTGTGATGCATACACTTGGCTCTGCCCCTTTGTGACCATCTTAACCCAGTCGCCCCTGAGCCGCCCATGCGCATCCGCATCCCTTCTACCACTTGTGACATCATCAGTTTTAACGGACAAGGACAAATTTGTCTGCTGACTTGTGCAGAGTGAAGAGATCTTTCAAACCATACCAGAATTAGCTAGTGGTGGGCCGATGATCGATTATAATCGAAAGTTGATCGAAAAGTTCAAGCGACGCGACAATCGATTATGCTTTTTTCATAATCGATTGTCGCTGAAAAATTAAAAATTTATTGGTGACAAATAAAAGTATTAAAATCAATAAAAATGTACGTTTAATATCTTGGTGTGAGTTGTCTTTTTCGTGGACTTCTAACTTCTAAGTCATAGCAGCAGATATAATCTAAGATTGAAGGTGTTTACCTTTGCGTACCCTGCGCGCTGTGTTGTTGTCACTTCAAATATGCCACGCTTATTTGAAAGATGTGGCATGCTAAGCTGCTTTGTATTTCGTAAACAACTGAACCAAAACATAAATTACAAGCTTACTGTTTCGCGTTTGTAGTATCTCTACTATCACTAGCGAATGAAAGGTATTAAGAAACAACATCGCAGCGATTTCCAGGGTCCTCTCTCAGACCTGCCTCCCTTACATGTTGCTGACGAGTCTAACATGATGGCTGAAATGGCCGAGTTTGAGATCTGTCGTTATCCTGGAAACGCCAGGTCAAACGAGCGGGAATATTTTGGTTTTTATCAACTGAAGGAAGGGCCCAAAACAAAGGAAAACTTGAACATGACGAAGGTAATCTGTAGGCTCTGCAGAAAGAAATACGCCAACAAAGGTTTGTGGCACGTGTGTTTTGCTGATTTCGTGTCAGTCTCACTTGAACTGCTGCAATGTAATCTTGGAATGCTTACTGGTAGATTTTTCCAATTATAATCGACGATCGATCGATTGGAGCAATCCGATTATTTCCGATGATCGATTGTGAAATCTCAACCGATTCCCACCACTAGAATGAGCACAATTCAGTCAAGGACACCAGAGAAAAAAGGCCAAAAAAAAAAAAAAAAAAAAAAAAGGAAAAAATGTAACATTGTATACCCACCTACCTTTCCTTTCATCTAATTCTAAGATCCTAAAAGCTTTTACAAAAACTTTTCCCACCAAAGAGGGAAAGTCAAGACTGCTCTGTCACTTTTAAACCCAAAAACTATCTCAAAATTTTGCTCTCTGTAGCATGGCCGAATTTCACAAGCTAATATTTTATATCTGGATCAGAAGGCTGCAAAGTGTACGACCTTTAAATGGTTTTATGGTAAGTTTTAGCTTTTTATAGCACAAAGGTGATGAGAAAACTGCCTTGACTAGCCTCAAAATGCATTTTTGCAGTAAAAATGTCCTAACCCCTAACCCCTAACCCTAACCCTAGAGACATCCCCCCTCTCTGAATACACATAATTCTTCCTTCTACTACTAATACATGAGCAGGCAAAAGAAAGTGTATGCTGTGTTGTAATTGGCTACCCAAGGAGCAACTTGGCCATTTCACGCCGCTTTTGCTGGGTTGCAGTCTTGTGTAAACTTCTGGCCAATTAATAAATTAATCCTTTAATACTCAGGTACATGCAATAGAATTTACAGTTACAGTAGACTTTTTTTACCTCATAAAAGTAGGTGTTTGAGGTATGGTCAGCAAATGAGGTTTAACCTTAGGAACCTTTCTTGCAGTGGGAACATCTGAAGAACTAGACACTGAAGAACAAGTCGAGGCATTGGAACAGGTTGACAGAGTCCTTAGTCGAGGAGATCGTCTTTCGGGGGCCTTCTTTGGTCGTTTCCTGGTGAAACAAGGAATATTGCTTGTTTAAAAGATCATCTAACGTTAATGCAAATTTTGAATTCAGATTTGAAAGTATGCAAAGAATATTCAGGTAAATTAATTTGGATTAAAATTTACTTCCAACTAAGCAACAATAAGCCAGTCGGTCCCGAATACTAAATCACCTGGCTGAGTTGTTCAAAAGTCAATGGGCGTGATCCATTCAACCAAATTCCAACCAGGAAAAGTGGTCCAAGGTGGAACAGTTTTTTCGAAACTTTTCCGGTTGGACCGAACCGATCCACTGAGTTTTGGACCAAAATTTCCGGAAATTTTCCTTGAATGGATCGCATCCAATAACTACAAATCCAGGAAAAGTAACCGTGACACCTTGTAAGCTCTGTTTGCAGTTTACCGAGGATATAGGTTGTGCATTTATTGATCTTTTTTTTGGTTTTCTTGTGGGGGTAGGTGGTAGAGCCGAATAAAGATACACGTGCAAGAATCTCATGATCATCAACGGACATGCAGTGATTTTGTTACAAATAGTTATGGAGCGTCCTGGGACTCATCTTGTGAAAAATCATGAGTCCTTGTCCATAATCAATGAGTCCCACCCAGTTAAAAAAAAACAAGGATTTCTAAATTGAAAATGCTTGGCATGCATGAGCCTTTACAGGACCTGAACAATCGATGAAATCGATAATCGATGGCAATCGATAACAATCGATGACAATCGATATCAATTAATCGACTGATATTGATAATCGATGGACAATCGATCACTAAAATTTTTGTGATTATTGATTATCATCGATTATCAATATCAATCGATAATCGATGGGAATCGATCAATTAACATAATAGATTGTTATCAATATGCAATATCAATCGATTACCTATTCAGTCAAACATTTCAATTGCCAATTTCATCGAGTACTAATAAAATTACACATTACACATTAACAATACGCTTAATCGTGTTTGAACGACGACTGCGTCCCAGGTCAGTTGAATCTTTGCAATAAACTCAAAGCGAAATCGATCAAGTTTGTACACTGACAACGAGATATGTTAATTGTCTTAATTATTTGTGCTGTTTTTCACGGAGCCACATCGATGAACAATTCTCAAACTTTGCTACTGAGGTTTAAAAACAATGTACGATCTGTGTACAATCCCGCGATACCTGAAGATACAGAGACATGAATAGTGCCAATCAATGGTAATCGATAAATTTCGCGACCACCTAAGTGTGATTATCGATTGATCATTGATTGGCCGATGCCAATCGATGCTAATCAACCGTAATTAATCGATTGTCATCGATTGATCGATTGATTTTCCGATCATCGATTTTCATCGATTGTTCAGGTCCTGGCCTTTATCAAGTTATGTAACCAGACAGTTGAGCTGAGACAGAAGCCAGAACTCTTTATTACAATTTACTGAAAAACGAAATCACACGAACAGGATATTCTACCAAAAAAATCTTCAAATCTATAGATCGATCACTCTTTGTGTCCTACGGGACGCAATTTATATTTGAGGAATGCCATGGACAGGACGCAGAGGTAACAAAATTACTTGACATTAGCAAGATTAAAATCCAATCTACTCTAAATCCATCGTACCTTTTGACTTGACTTTGTGAAGTTTTAACCTGGTTTTGGGAAGCGTTTTCTTTGTTGTCCTCCTTTGTGGCTTGACAACTTGCAGCGGAGTTTGAACATTTCGACAACCATTCTGACCAAGACGTAACGACATTCTTGGGGGCTTGTTTTTTGCGAGACTCGTTCGTCTCAGTGCTGGCAGCTGACATCTCTGGATCCACTTCATTTCGATTAGGAGAGTTTGTATTTTCTTCATGACCATTTGGAATTTCTGAAGACGCCACATCATTGATCGTGTCAGCAACGACTGCGTCCAAAGGTTCGGCCGACGATCCATTCGACTCTTGGTCATTTTCGTCTTCTTCCACCACCACGCCACCTTCATCCGCTATTTTTTTATCTTCACACAATAAGATATACATGAAGTTAAGAAAATCGAACACCTCGGCCCATATTGCATTTGAAAAAGTCAATCAAAAATATAAACATACCAAACCATTTGTCAGCGTCGGGGTCGATGACGTGTTGCAGGCCTTCCGTGAAATCCACAAACTGTGGTGCATCGTACTCATATTTTGGTTCAATACCCAAATCCATGTTGAGAAAACACAACTACCAAACGCCTTTTAACTCCCTGACTTCCAAAGTCAATTTCAAAACAAGATATTCGACAAACAAATGTAAAAGTAACTCGGGGTATTCACAACCACAGTCGCACGTTTGATCGTTAGATTTGAAACTGACCGCACTCAAAAAGATGCCAGCCAAGACGCTTTCCTATTGGTCAGTGAAAAAAAAGGCGTTCAGTACATATAAGGTAATCATTGCCATATTAGGCACAAAGACCATTCAATATGGCGGCGACAGAGCGCCGGGCGGTCGAAGCCGGATCTATCAAGAGACTTTGGAAAATGTTTGGGAAATTTAAATGAGTTAAGTGTATGTAAGGTCATAAATTCACTAAATTGCAAAATACCCGGTCTGACACTTCATTTGCATCTCGTTGAATGAGAACGTTTTATTGTTTGTGTTATGTGTCGTTCTTTTTGCGTTGCAGTTAACATATTTAATAAGCTTAAGTCTTGAATTTGAAATTGTAAGTTTTAAGTCTTAAAAGAGTTAAAAAAGCTTCTTCTGTTAATCTTGTTTATTTTCGCAGGTGACGGATATGAATGCCGACCCTTTAATAAAACTCCTTCCATTTGATGTCAGTAAAGTGCGGGCTCAAGATGTTGTTGTGGTATTGGCAGTTTTTGCAGCCGTGTTTTTGTTCAGAGCTCCTAATGTTTGGGAGTTGAAGCCTTCTTGGCAACTTGGCAGCACTTCTGAGATCCATCATAAGCCTGGTAAAAACCAGTCGTAAGTCATACTGTTATTGCTTATAGTGAGAATAGTTTCAGTAGTGAACTCAACCCGAAGTGTGCTACTTGTGCCAGTAATGGATATACAGCGTTTTTTCTAGAAAGGTTTGTCGGAAAAAGTGCATGCATTAATCCCAAAATGTATTGTGGGTCGTTTTGAGTTCAGTGTTCTTCGATAAAAAACGAAAGAATGGCACAAGAGACCATGGACATATGTTTGTGAGTGGTAAAGGAAAGCAAGAAAAGTAGGTTGGACAGTTACGGTGTCAGGAACAGTGTATAGATGGTATCCCATATTACCTATTGGGATTGTCGTGTGCTCATTTTTTCCGAATATCTTTCTCGAAATAGCTGTATATGTTACAGCTCACTCAACATTCCCCTACACTATATTCCTGCCCCCAAAAATAATCCCTGTGCAAAAAAGTTACATATCTTATTACAAATAAATATATATAGAAATAATCCACCCAAAAGTCACCTACACCACTGATTTCCCCACAAACTGACATCTGAGAAATGAGTGCAGAATTCCTATACTGATGTAGCCTACAAGAAAGCTCTCTGGGGTGCTCTGGCAGCGGGGCGGGAAAAGGGAGGAGAGCTTGCAACTACATCTCTGGAATTTGAATTCTGCCTCCAGTTCCCCTGTGGCTCCCTGTCAACTGAGCTGTCATGGAACCTTCTCTAGTGTCTGCATGATAAGGGCATCTGGACATTAAATACCTGTTTCCCAGGGACTTATCAATGTACATGTGTCCTGATGTAATAGAGGGTGTTTATTACTCACTAGAGATGATCCTAACACCCTCAGATTTTGCTGTATAATTTCCTATGTAAATTTTCAGACCTGTTCCCCTCATCACAGATTTGGATAGCGATGGGATTAATGGTAAGGACTTTGAACTTAAGTTTACCGTTTGATTTTCATGCTTTTCTTCTCATTGACGGTTCTAAACTGGCATTTGAAATTTGCACTTTGTAGTTGTTTGTATTTCACATCTTTCAATAATTTTAATAAGTAGGCCTTTTGTAAAAGTTGATCACATAATCCACTTTCTGTAAACATAGTTCACTTATCTAATTTTAATATGCTCTTTCAGTTGCTGCTAACAGAATTTTCCAAAAGCAAACTGTTTTCATGTTCACAGAAATTGATCACATGACTAACTATTGAAAATGGCCTATTTTGCAAATCTAAGAATCTGGGTTCAGTTTTCCCAAAACGTGTGCCGAATTGGTGTTGTACGTCTTTCACCCAGCTTCGCAGTTTTAAATAAGTGAACACTTTTATCTGTTACTTCCCCAAAATATATCAGGTGATGATGTCAGGGGAAAATCTTAATCCAGGCTGAAATCCAACAGTTCATTTGAAGTGCTAATAGGCCAGAAATAAAGTTCACATACTTATCCACTGGATGGTAATTTATCCAGTGATAACGCTATCCACCATTTGAACAACCGGAGACAGGTAGATATTATTTTGCATCCTTAAAATATGTTTTGTGAACCATTTTGGGCTAAAAGGAATAGTATTATATTCATGATAACTCCGGTATTGAGAATTTAGATAATTTGATGTACTGTCTAACTGCTTACTTTTAATTTAAAAAATAATAAATGTTTGTTTGTTTCTTTTTATAACAGAAGTGATTTTAGCAACTGAGGATGGGCGACTTCAAATACACATGCTTCCCCCACAGGAAGATCATGAACCATCATTCACTCTTCCTCATCTTCATATGAAGGTACAGTCCCCATTACTAAAACTATTGAAAAGAAGAAGAGACTACTGCAGTTAACTCTCTCATAGCGACCTCCTCCAATAAGCTACACTTTGAAAATGACCCTTCAGTTAAATACTGTTTCTGCTAATCCAAAACTCTCTCGTAAGCACCATGCACTTCTTAAAGATTTCTTAAACAACTGTGACAGCTTTTTAGGCTAGAAATTTGACATTTTCATTTGTTTTCTGTTTCCAGTAAGTGACCACCCGGTATGAGGCACATATGATTGTGAGAAAACCATTGCTTGATTTTCACCGAATTTTAGTTTTCTAGCACTGCCAACAAAGCAATATTGCAAGCAGATTAAAGCAGTTGACTTAGAAAAAAGATGGCTGAAAAGTGCATTTTCCACTTTGATAGTGCATACTGTTTTAATTTTACAATGTTTCACTGTTCCTAGTGCTATTTGATGTGAAACAGTAATTTCCAGTTGTCTATTTGCCTATTTTGAGCTTGTAAGGTAAATTAATTAAATATATTTAAAGGAACAAAAACTGATTCCTAGCAATGTTTGTGAACGTCCATTTAAATTACCATTTAAAACAAACCAAGAAGTTTCCAATTTAAGGTCTTGCTTAATATCATTCCTACCAATCAACGTCTTTGGAAAATGAGCATAAAAACTTCCCCCCAATGCGAGACCTGTAACTTTCCTACTGAAACTTCAAATCATAAGTTTTATGAGTGTCCTGCTGCGAAAAGTTTTTGGAGAGATGTCTTAAACTGGTGGAACTTCAAATCTTTTGAAAACATAACACCCAGTGCTACAGAAATTCTTTATGTTTATGAACCCAAATCATCACATTTTAATGCTTTTAATCATTATCCTCTAATTGCAGGATACTATATCCACCTTGCTAGATTAGAAGCAAATCTGAGACCCCGAGACTCAATGTTTTCATTGTTCTTCTGGAAACTAAAATTCAATGGAAAGAGAATTAATTGCTATTAAAACTGGAAACCACACCAAATACAGAAATGAGTGGACGTCCTTGTGCATTTCTGATAATTATGCGTTGTGACTTCTTGGGTTAATGGCTTCAATATGCAGTGCTTGACACTAACGCTAGTCCACTAGCCCGAAACTAGTGAAACTTTGGGCTGGGCTTAGCAAAAATAAGCTTCTAATAGCCCCTAGCCCAGTCAGTTTAGTTGACAAAATAGCTTTTCTAAACTCTTTTACTTGAGAAGTTCCTTTTTCTACAACGCTTTATCAGTAGTTTTCTTTCAATCTATAGGTTAAGTATTTTAATGTAAACTAAGGAAGGGCTCGAAATTGCGACTGATGTGGTTGCCAATTGATGCGACTAACATTTTCTCCTTGGCGACTAAGAAATCTGGTTTAGTCGCCACTTTGGGGACCAGGTTTCTCAATGATTTAGATTTAACTTAAAAGAGTAAAGTTAAAACAAACATTTCATCTTATCTTGCTTTGCTTTCAATCTTATATCGCACCATATGTATTACTATGATGCGAGCTGCGTCATTTACATTATACAAACTGGCAACTAAAAATTTGCATCTGGCGACTATATTTCTACAGTTGGTCGCCTCAAGGCGACCTGAGGATTTTTTTTTGTTTTCGAGCCCTGTAAGGATTTGCTACTCACATCGTGGAGGTATAGTATGATTGACTTGCAAAACAAAAGCCATGTACAGCCCTGTACATGTAGGGAGTGGAATAGAGATTACTGGTTCCTGACCCCCTGGTATTTTTTTCTGGGCTTTTTTTGGACCAGTGGCTTTAATTTCCCTCATGGGCTAGTGATTTATTTCACTTACTAGCCCATTGCCTAGTTTCCAAAAAAGTCAGTGTCAAGCCTGATATTTGCTTTATTTATTTTCAATTGTTCTTTTGTTTTCCTTGTATCAATATTGTATGCACCTTGGCCCTATTTCCTTTTGAGTTACATGACTAACTTGTTTTACTATAGTATGTACCTTAGTTGTTTTACTGTAACTTATTTATTTAATACTAATAGTAATAAAAAACTAAAGAAGTTAGATTACATTTAATTATGTTTGTCAGTTCAGTTTGAGCTCATTTTCTTGATATTTCCAAGGGTAGTCATTTACAAGAGAGTTGAATGTATTTCTAACATTTAGTAGGCAGGTGTAAATAAGCAAACAAGATCATGTCTCCCCCCAATAATTAATAATGGTGGACAGTTAGCCTGCGTAGCAAGCGTTTCCGTTAGGTTTCGGAGCAAAGAAAGAGCGAGGAAGGGGATTTTTGGTTTTGACTGAGCGAGAAATGAAACAAGAGCCAAGAAATGAAAGAGGGGGGAGGGGGAGGGGAACGGGAAGGAAGGAAACACTTGCAGACAAACCCCTCGATTTTGAAAACCTGCATTCCCCAGCGAACGCAGTGCCTGATTGGCTTGGCTAGTCAAGCAATCTTGACATGTGTCAATCAGAGGTTTGTTTCATACTGAGAGGTCACGTATGGTATGTGACACGCATATTAATTTCCTGTGGTTGTTGTTTATTCTGCTTGGCAAGGTTTGCCCTCCAATGCCAGAGAATTTTCTTTAACTTCTTCTGAAACGCAAAGCTCTTCTTGCGACTAAGGGCTTCAGGCCGTTTAATTTATTCCCCAGTGTCTCCTGGATCTGAATAACTAAAAGCGATTTTCTTTGGTCAGGGTATGCAATGGTTTCCTGCAATGTTTTGTCATGCTGAACCTAGCTCGCTGGTGTTTTTTTTTTTGCAGGATGTTAAATTTTCTCGGATCGATAGTGATTTATACATCCAAATTTCGAAGAGTGGATTGCACCTTAAACTGAAGCTACATCCACTATGGAGGACTACATTGTGACTCAAAATACAAACAAAAAATTATTTTGGTTTCAAACACACGTCCTCTAAAGTTCATTTCCGCTCCACGGGAGGCCAAACATTTTATTGGTCAATTATGACAGCTGATGACAGCATCAAATGTTGGTGCGCGAACTCAGGCATGACAGGCCAAGTGGGCGGTTTTCAAAATCCTGGGGTTTGTCTGCAAGCGTTTCCTTCCTTTCTTCCCCACCCTCTCCCCGCTCTTTTACTTGCGCCACTTTTCTCGCGGTCAGTTTGACTCTCGTTCCTCGTTCTTTTCTCCTAAGCCACACAGAAACGTTTGCTACGCAGGCTAGTGGACAGTGTACTTTTCCATTAAGGCAAGGCAATTTGACTTTTGTTTAATACAGTGTATCTCTCTGTTTCTCAGAAAGAAGTGGTACTTAAGTCTAACTCTTCTCAATCAGCTCTTCCTGTGGCTCTTGGAGCAGGATGTGATCACAGAAGACTTTCTTCTCTTGATGTTTGTCGTCAGGTGATGTAGATATGTCACATGTCAAAATTATATTCAGGTTTTTACTTAATAGTTTTTAACCCAGGTTGATTCTCAGTTTCCCTTGTCATGTGCCCTATCCCTAATTCATGAATAATCAGGGATAGGAGACAAAGGAAGTAGAAAATCAACCTACAATCCTCTTACATTAGTTGGGACAGTAGTGATTTTTCTGCCCTCTCAATGTTGGTGTTTGCGAGTTGGCATCACGGGAGCAAAATATTTAACACTGGGAGGAAAGGAGCACAACTTTTTGTCAGAAGGTGGTTATTGCTTGGGGTGTGATGAGGATCGTAGGTTAAAATATTTTAACCTGAATATAATCTGACCTGTAACAGATACATGTACTCAGTCCTCAGACTTGTATATGGATCAACTTCCAGATACATGTATTCAGACTTCAGACTTGTATATAGATCAAACTCCAGAAACTACAATGTGAATAAAGACCTCCAGTTAAATTTAATCCTCCAGTTAATTTAATCCCATGATTCAAATTTTACTTTCTGTTGTTTCAAACTTACATATGTGATAACAGACCCCAAAACAATTGTTGATAAATGCGGCATCTGTCTGCAGATTATAGTCGTTGTGACGGAGATTACATGTAGTACAAACATGTTATCCTCTACGTTTACCCGGACGATTCATACTCAGCCTACTCAGACTTATGAAATGACTCCTAGGTTCAAACCCCTCACGGTATTTTTGTTAAAAAAAACAAAAACTGCCTAAGAGGTCTGTTTATGATGCAGTTAATTTAATCCCATGATTCAAATTTTACTTTCTGTTGTTTCAAACTTACATATGTGATAACAGACCCCAAAACAATTGTTGATAAATGCGGCATCTGTCTGCAGATTATAGTCGTTGTGACGGATGATGGAGTGGTACATTGTTTCACAGACCAGCTGGAGCAGCTATGGATGACTGTTGTTTTCAAAGATGATAAAGAATTACAATCAATGTATTTTAGGTAGGTAGCCAAGAGCACCCAGTTCGTTCAGTTCGATCTGAATGTTCATACCATCTTTTCTTGAGGCTCTCTTTGGGGGAGGTGGGGGGAGAGGGGAGGGGGAGGAAGAGGGGAATGTATGTCCCCAGTCTGAAAATCAGATACAGTCGTTTCGTGTTTTGAAAAAATGGGCCATTTCTTTGTTGCTATTCTTAATGTCGCTTGTTGCCAGTTCATTAAGGCCTTGTCACTTGTCGGAATTTGACCGTAACAGGGCCTGTATCTTAGTGTGTCCATCCCAACCTCGTCCCCAGGGCGCTTTTCCCTGGCTTTTGAAGCGCCCTGGGGACGAGGTTGTGTCCATCCTAAAGACAGACAAAGAAAATTGACTGAAGAATGGCAGCAACTCTTTCCAGGTGTCATTTATAGAAATGTCCATCAGGAGCGGTGGACCATCATATTGTTACAGTATTATTTTATTTCTATTTTCCTGCCTTCTAAATTTGTTGTTTCATGAGAGATTACATGTAGTATCAAAGATACAAACCTGTTATCCTCTACGTTTACCCGGACGATTCATACTCAGCCTACTCAGACTTATGAAATGACTCCTAGGTTCAAACCCCTCACGGTATTTTTGTTGCCAGCCTTTGCTTGGGTAAAGCTGTGCCCAAAGCCTTGACATACTAGAATATTGATACCCTAATATATTATTTGTATTTTGTTGTTTTAATTTGTAGAGAGATAGCTGTAAGAATTGTACCATACTCACCTGACCATGGCCTGGTTTTGATTGGAGGGAAAGTGGCTAAAGAAGACCCATTCAAAGATCATCATTTAGAGTAACTACTGTATTAATGATAATTATGGAGCGTCTGTCTCTATGTGTACCTGGGGACTTCGTTGCCGTCATGCGTTTTCCATAAAATTGTCGATTTTCCACGAAATCCTCGCATATCAAGAATTGTTTTGCGTAGCCTGTTCCAGGCTCTCAGACAGTAGGATGACGCATAAGTGAAAGGCACGCGAAAATGTAAGCGCTTGACCTAGTCTCCTCTCGTTTTATTTTCGTGTTCGTGCTTTCTCAATTCCGCGGACCCGACTATCTCGGAGCCTGGAACAGGCTATATTTTGCGTGGTAACTCTACCAGTCATCAACATGAGCGACCACGAAAACGACAACGAAAACGAGGAAATTAAAACAAACAACAAGTCTAAAAAAAAAAACAGAAAAACTCTGAACCTGGGGCTCACTTTTTGGCAGGTCTCTTTGCCGTCATTGCACGACTAACGTTGTCAAACTTCATCAGAATGGCAATGGTATCGTCGCTTGAGTCTCTACGATCGCCGTTTTAGTAGAGATCTTAAGCAACAACTACGGTGACGGCTACGAAAACGTCACTTAAAGAAATTCGCGCGGCTTCAAACTTTATCGCGCTTATTCCAACACGTTCAATTCGTCAAATGTTGGCAAATTTTTCTGGAGTTGAATTCTAAAAGACTGTATTGAAGTTCAGGATCTCAAAGAAAAAGAAAGTCTTTGTCTCTTGTGTTCACGTCCTCGACAGAACGTGAAATTAGACACTTTCACGTTGTAGTCGTACAGCGACGACAAAGAAATCGTCAAAAAAGAGTGATGCACGTGCAAAGTTGTTGTTTTACCAATCTAAACCTATTGCTTTTTTTCCGTTCTTGTTGCCGTCGCCGTCGTCGTTGCCTAAGCTCCTTATTATATTAACAGCGATCGTCGCGACTTTGATTTCGTCGGAAAAGCGCAGATAGAGTTTCGTTATGCTTTTTTGCATAAATCGTATTTAAATTTAGGATGACCTTCTCTATCGTGCACCAATGAAACTGTCAAAATTTGTCACATTTTAATTTTCAGGCATGACCATCAACATAACATGTCTGCAGGGCTTTCTGCAGATGAAATAGCAAAACTGCCTCCACGACGCCTTCGTCATACTAAAATGGTAAATATTTCAATATTAAATTATGTGGATAGGCTTATGCATGTATCATAGAGGTAGCTGTCTGTAATAGTACAAATTAAATTTTGTGATTTGATTGATTTGAAATCACACAAATTAATCAATATAGTAGTCTGTTTGTTCTAATTCAATTTCTATTTGCAGCATTGAAGATTTTCGTTTCTTGTTTTATTTGTTTCGTGTTTTTTATTTCTCTTTTTTCTCTTTTTCAACATAAAGACTTTTGAAGAAAAGGAACACTTTTCTACGTACGCGCTTAACAGTAAAACAGGAGCAACTCACTGGAAACACGAACCAGGGGACTATGAAGCTATGAAAAATTCAAGAGAGGTACTTCTTCGTCTTAAAATGACTTAAACTACCATGCAAATCTTCAGCCCTAAATCGATAGTCTTTGGTCTTTGATCTGTATGTACAGGCATCATCTGCAACGATTTACGGTCATCTCGCCACCCACAAAAACACCTCCCAAGAAGTGTACTTGCCACCACGTAATAATTCTGCAATATAAATTGGCACAGTCTGTGACACAGTTTACTTACCTATGATTTCTTAGGTAGGATTTTTATTTCTTCGTCAAGCCCAAATACAAATCTATCTCTGCGGTAAGTACAGTCGACTTCCGATAACTCGAACCCTCGCTAACTCGAACCTCGTGCTAACTCGAACCAAAATTGATTTCTCCTGGATTTCCGTCATACTCTCGGCTTTCACTGTAATTTTAGCTTCGGTAACGTGTTGTAGGAGTATAGTGGAGGCTGATGTTGATTGTGACAGGCTAACGTGAAGCAGCTTTACTTCTCAAAACAGTAAAGCGCATGCTCTATTTAGGCTATGTTTTGTTACGTTACGTTCTGATTTATCATCTAGAAATATCTTTTAATTTTCACTTGACATTTCTACAATTAAATGTGTTTAAAATGTTCACTGTGAAGTAAAAACTGTTTTTTATCTTACTCTCGGATATTTTCTTCAATCTCCCGATAACTCGAACTTTTTTCGATTTCCCTTAAAGGTTCGAGTTATCGGGAGTCGACTGTACTATTACGATATTTATTTCTTGGTGGCGATTTCGTTGTTGGCGAGTCGATCGACTGAATACCTCTTCGACATAACAAATGGTAGAATTTCGTTGCACATCGGCAAATTTATTCTGGACGTCGTTCAAAAGCGAATGTTTTTCAGTAGAGGACGAGAACAACCATGAGGACGAAATTAAACTAAACGTTTTTTAGCGTATTTTATATATACACCCCAGAAAACAACAGTGCTAACTTTTTTTTCACAAAAGAGTTAGCACTGTTATGTTTATTAACGCGTATTCTAAGCCCTCTCCCAATCGCGAAATGAAAAATTTCTAATATCTGATGATTTGTTTCCTCCACTACGACATTTTGGCTAAAAACTGTAGTGCCGTGACCACGGACCGCGGTTCAGAAATAGCGACTTTGAGATCCGACGACGGCAACGAGATCGTCAAAGAAGCAATTGGTTTCGAAAAGCAAAACAACAACTTTGCACGTGCACTGCACGACTACGAGATGAAAATGCCTAATTTCACTTTTTATAGAGGACGTCAAGAAACAAGCCACGACGAAATTTTTTTGCTCTTTTTAAACGTGGATGTAGTTCTCAGGAATTGAACCCCAGGAGAGTTTGCCTACATTTAAGAAAGTAAATGAGATGGAATAATTGCGATGAATATTGAAAGAACGGGAATTCACTTTTTAAGAGACGTTTTCACTGCCGTCACCGTCCCCGGATCTTAAGGTCCCTAATGACTCTAGTTTACGCGCGCATTACTCGTCTCAGAATGTCAAGGTCTAATTTCTACTCGGGCGGCAATCACAACAGGTAGCCGTTGCAAAACCAATTCAACTCTGACATGATTTTCTATGTTCAAACTGTTCTGAGAATCTTTGTTATCTTGTTTCATCAAGGATATTCTATCAGCCTACCATTTCAAGCTGGCTCTGCACTCCAGTCAGTATCACGTGGGTGAGGTCCATTGGAGCTACTACACAGAATCCCTTATCACTTCCATGCCATACAGATGGCAACACCCAGCTGATACAAAGATACAAACTGCTCACTTTGTAAAGAAAATGCCATCATCTGCAGCTAGAACACCAAATAGGTATGGATAATCGGCGTTAGAGGGCCAGTATTGGCCTACGCCTACTATTAAAGGGTTTTGGCATACGCCTGCAAAGGGCTTCAGAGGGCCAGTATTGGCATATGCCTACAAAGGGTTTCAGAGGAATAGTATTGGCATACACCTATCAAGGGTTTCATGGGGCCAGTATTAGCAAACACCTGCAAAGGGCTTCACAGGGCCAGTATTGACATACACCTACAGAGGGCATCAGAGGGCCATTATCGGCATACGCCTACTAAAGCACTAGAGGGCCAGTACTGGCATACGCCTAGCAATGGTTTCGGAGGGCCAGTATAGCCGAATCTTTGTTTGCACTTTTTGCCTCATTAACATATGGTTATCACTATCTGATGATGCTAATAAAGTAAAAACTCTGAATATTGAAAAGGCTTAACAGTTTCAGTTATCTCTGAAAATTTGAGCCCAATACATCGAATGGTTTCGGGGAAATTCTCTTCTTAAAACTCGAAATTTTAAAGAGAATGTATGGCTCATTAACTTTTTTGCCTCACAACAATTTCGCAGTTTTTGATGACTGATATTTCCTTCAATATTGCTTGCAAAGAACTGAAAATTGCACAAATTGCTCAACTTAATCAGCTCTTTCAACTTTTGCATTTAGTTCATATACATACGGCCACGGTTTCTATGAGTTAAGTCGTATGCTCACGAGAAAGAATATAAACAATGAGGTCAGCAAAGGGCTTCAGAGGGCCAGTAGTAGCATATGCCTACAGAGGACTTCAGAGGGACAGTATTGACATACGCCTATCTCTTGCTTACCACTTAAAATAGGGTGGCTGCTTCATACAGTTTCGATTGTATATATGTAACTAGAATTCTTTTAACTGTCTTTTAACCAGAACGCCATCAGTACGTCATGAAACTCACTCCAAGCCAGAATTAAGCAGAGAAAGGCAGCCCAATGTAGTGGTTATACACCGCCAAAAGTCCATCGAAGTTTTAAGCCTCGACTCCGGTAAGCCTCTATGCACTTACACAGTTTCCAAGGATGCCACTAGTGCGAGTGACATCAATGGTGATAACGTCATCGAGCACGTGACAATGTATTTTTCATCCGAGCCACGTGTTCAAGCAGAAATCAATCCTTGCTCAGCTGTGGTGACTTCTGGCGCCAAGACCTTGTTCACCGGATCGATATGCGGTCCATCATCTTCGTTTGGGAGATATTTTGACTCCAGTGCTGAGGAACATTTTCGTGAAGAGCCAGTCCCTGTTGCTCCCCTGCTTGTGGACAGTCCGTTGGACAGGTCGGGGATATTTAGCCATCTTTCAGGGGACAAGGTTAAGCGCGAGTCCATCCGAGGTTATGATAGCGTGTTTATCATCTCATCCGGACGACTCACAAGCTTTGGGCCTTACGGAGAGTTTAACTGGCAGGTAAAAATCGTCTGAAACGAAGTCGCAAGTTGTAACTAGGTTGCCTTCGATTGGGAAATCCGGATTTTGCAATCGAACGCGAAATCCGTAAACGGATTTCACCTCCCAGAAATCAGTCCTCAGGGTGGATTTCAATTAAGAAATCCAAATCCGGATTTCACGGATTTCCTTTTTACTGTTCGATAGGGAAATCCGAAAAAAGATTTGCAGAACTATTTTCGTGAACAGTGGTCTTCTTTTTGCTAATCATGCGTGCGCGTGCAAGACCGTTGTTCTTAAAAACTATTTTCAAATCCTTTTTCGGATTTCCAAAAAAAAAAAAAAAAAAAAAAAAAAGACAACGGAAAGGAAGGGAATCCAAGAACAGATATCTCAGCGTTGAAATCCGTTTCAGATTTTGCTTTCGATTACAAATCCGAAATCCGGATTTTAAATCTAAGTACTAAGTACAAGTTTATTACTTTGCCCTGGACGCGGCGCATTTCTAGGCTCTATTTCCGCCGCTCTCTCGGGTCAGGTTTTGTTTTTCCCCGAGTCGGGGGACTGAAGAGCGTAGGCATTGTGGTAATAGAGCCTCAGCCTACATTTCCGATAGGTTGCAGTGACTTCACTTCACATAGATTGCGCTAACAATAGGCTACAGGAAACCCAAGCAAGGGTTTTCTTAGTTTGCCCCCTTATACTGTACATATTGCAGCTAAGCACGCGTAGATGGAGATCAGTGCCCGAAATTTGATAATATTCCCTCTGAATCTAGAATCAACACGCGCGGAAGTCGGCAATTTAATGACCCATTTTGTAACTTATGTCTTCTGGTTTGCCTCCAGCCAGTTGGGATTTTTACGTGCAAGGTTTATTTCAGTTATGTGTCTCTGTTCTTACTATTTGTGGGACACAATGTAGACCACTAGGTTCCCAGTAATTCTACTACTAGTAATAATCATTGCTTATGGATCCGCGTTCGTCTTATTTCACGAGCATGACGTCTGCACGAAAACGAGACTAAAGGAAACGAAAACGAGTCCAAAGGAGTCCAGTTTCGTGCGGCCGAGATGAAAATTAATAGATAAAATTAATAGGGGCGGCTATTCGGCATTCGCCCGCGATAGCTCGAAAATTTCTGCCTTTGTACCAAAGGAACACCAGATTAGGATGCGTTCTGACGAACGCGATGAAACCCCAAAGCGTGATAACCATTACCTCCATTTTATTTTGATTTCCCTTGTAGGTTGACACGGAGGCTTCGTGGTTAAATTACGACCCAAAAGAAACTAACCCAAGAAAAGTGGATTTTGTACCAAATATTCAAGCGGTAACAACATCCGTGGGTGGAGTGAAGGTAGGTTTTATATTCAAAGAGCTTAAACCCTCTTTCCCTTTCCGGTTGGGAGGGGGGTAATCCTTATGATGGGCAATACAGGAATGTTCTGCCTGAAAGGGGTACGTTTTTCAGGCTTCAGTTAAGAAGTGAAAGGAGAGGAATTTCACGAGTTTGAGTATATGAAAAGGTACGGAGACCCTTAATTTAGGCATTTTAAGCGCCTTTAAGTAGTGATCCAGGTAAGAAGGGAAGCAATTTGTTTTGTTGTGGCGCAATACCTTTTCCTCACATAGAAATGTTTTCATTTTTACGCAGAGAATGCATAAACCTACAAAAGTGCAGTTTACGAAAGAAAATGTTTTTAGACTCCACTTTTAAAGGGTGTATTTTTGTGTTAAAACATTTCGACCAATCACAAGAGTTGCAAACAATGGCCAAGAAATGTTCACAATTTTACATGATCAGCACATACGATTTCTGTGTTACTTAGACTTCGACGAGATTTTCTTATAAGGAAGTTGGATAGAAAAAAGGGGATTAATATACATGCTGCTTTGCGAAGATTTCGTAAAATTTGATGTTTAAACCAATCAGAACCATAGTAGAGACAATAGTAAAGTTAGCACCTTTTTGCGTTCCGACGTGTTCACTGCGTTTTTGGTCCTTTACTTCTTATCTGGACCATTATTCTGGTCGTGCGATTTTATTTTATTAAGCACTACACGTAATGAAAAGAAGACTTACCTGTCAGTAGGTGTGTGAAAGGAGCACCATTTCTTAATGGCGGTTATTCGAAGGGGATATCTTTTTTGTCTAAAGTGGTAGATAATATAAAAGGGTAAGGGGTCGGACCTCGGGGCGGATCCTCCACGTATAAAAAGGTGTTCAGCAGCCCCCTCCCCCTTTGTAATTAATTTGAATTACTCACATTTAAGTACGCTCTGTTTCGCTCTGTTCTGATTCAAAGCTGAATCGGCATTCATAAAGTCTTGGTATCGAGGCGTTCTCTTCGAATCCTAAGGCGTGGACGCTAAGCGCCCGGTGTAGTCTCTTTGGATTCGAAGAGAACGCCCGGTTACCAAGACATTACCAATGCCGATTCAACTTTGAGCTAGGGGAGAGCGAAACAGTATACAGAATATACGAGGAAAATTGACCAGAAAAAACAAAGGACTATTTCAATGTGAGTAATTCAACGTATTACACACAAAAATTAACCTTTATTTAGTCGAAACCCATGTTTCCTATAGACCATGGTGCACCCTACGCTTAGTCTCCAGCCGCGGGTGTCTCGATGCGCCCGAGATTCTCCCCAGGGTAGCCTCGACGGAGCCTCGACGTATGGGCCATTTTAGGGAGTACCCAAATAGGAACCTGTAGGAACATTTTGTCTTTAGGGAGATAAAGCACCAACGAAGGCGACGGCTAAGAAAACGTCACGTAAGCCTTTAAGTCCCTATAATGACCAACAACAATTTTCTCCTAACGATATCCATACATTGTCAAGAGATAAAGTTATGAGAATTAGTAAAATGATCACCAAAGAAAAAAATTGCATGATCTTCAACTAATTCTTAAAGGAAATGTATGCAGATCAGTTTGGAGAATTTGTATGTGGATATTGGGGCTTAAGGGGTTAGAAAGGTCGTTCGTGCAGCTTTAAACTTTATCTCGCTTATTCCATCTCGTTCAGTTTGTCAAATGCTGGCAAATTTTTGTGCAGTGGAATTCTAAAGTTCAGGAAAAGAAAAAAGAAAGTCTTGTGACCACGTCCTCCACAAAACGTGCAATTAGGCAGTTTCACGTGGTAGTCGGGCAAGGACGGAGGAGAAGTGTACGAAAAAGCACGTGCAAAGTTGTTACCTTGCCAATCCAAACCTATTGTTTTCTTCTTTTTTTTTTTTTTTGCCGTTCTCATTACCGTCGCCGGTGTCGTTGCTTAAGTTCTCTGTTTGTTTTGTTTCAGGACGCAGTGTTGGTAACTGGCCGAAGTCGTCTGGTACTAGTCTCTCTTAAAGATGGTTCTCTGCTAGCTTCTCACACCATACCGTGTGAGCCACTCTCCCCTGTCGCACACGGTGACTTCACAAATGATGGATTGATGGATTTTGTCGTGCACTGTAGAGCAAGGTGAGTTATGTCTTGACCTTAGCCTAGTCAAAATGAACATATAGGTAGCCTGTTCCCCCGATCCCCCAATCCCCCAATCCCCCGGAAAAGATACAAAAAGGGACAAGAATACTTGTTGGAAAATTGGAATTTGCTTCCAGTCCTATTAAAGAAGACTAGCCTCCCACGCAGGCGTTTTTAGGGGAGCTCGTATTTCGTCCGTCCCAAACGTGACAGGGATGCTTGACGAAAATTAAACCCCTAAGGGCCCCCCTAAGGGGGACCAATGTGTGTATGTTCTTTACGCACGGTATTAAGCGATACCTGAACTGGCAAGTGTAAGTGACTTTCCATCCCAAACACCCTAAGTGAGACCAAAATCAGCAATTTACACCCCAAAGCGAGACGGCGATGTTCGTCGTCTCTTTTATATGGGAGTCCCCCGGGCTCTGGACGATCGAACGAAAAATTTGGGGAATTTTCACCTGACACGGCGGCCATGTTAGTGTCCCAAACCAGTCCTTCGGGAGTTGAACTCTTTTATTGTTTAACGCTTACCACGTAAGTGAAAAAACGCAGTCTTGATCAACAAGTGTGTGTAATTGGCGTTGTGTCTCTTTGCTTTTACCCTGCGAGCAGAGATTTCTTTCTGGCAAGGCTCGTAGCATTTACTCTCTCACAAACAAACCAACTGCGGGACTAACAAACGACGCGAACGACTTCGTAAATGCTAAAACCCATGCCAGAAAGAATCATCTGCTCGCAGGGTACTTTCCTTTCTGAAGAGAAAACAACTTTACTTTCAGCTACCTCGGCTTCTCACTGGACAGTAGACCCGGGTTCTGGTGGACAGCGGTCTGGGTCGCTTGTGGACTGGGCGCTATTGCAATTGCCGTTCTGATCCTTCGTTTCATCGAGGAGGTGATTGCGTGACGCCAGACGGAATCACGCCACATGCTAGTAACGCGTTGTGTGATGGCAGTTGTCACAAATCCAAGAAGTCATCGTTGTCTGTGGCTCTCTTTGTGACTGGTAACACCTCATTTGAATACGAGGTATGCATCTACTTGTACTTGTACAAGGTACATGCGTCTACCGGGTTATCTGTCACGTGGTCACTTGAACGTTAAACTTGATCCGGCTTTGGAACATCGAAGCCCAGAATAGAAGTTGAGGAATAAGGATAAGGAGGTATCTTAGCGGGTCTTTTATGGTTTTGTACCTCCCGTCACATACCGGTCAGGAATTTTAGCCTGGGAAATATTTTTTTCGACAAACTAGCGCGGAAACGTTTGCTGCGTATGCTAAACTGACCACAACAAGAATGAATAGTCTTCGTGAAAACCGAGACCGTTTTGGGACTTTCGGGAAAATGCACTTTGCTCAGTTACGGTACGTCTGCGTCTTTATATCAGTAGGCAGTGAGCGCAAGCTTCAGTTTGCTGGTCAGAAATACGTTCAATAAGTTTATTTCCTCAAAACGTCTTGATGATAGGGTGGGGCGCTAAAATACTACATTCCAGTGTACGAAACAGGGTTTGGCCACCAAACAAACGTTCTTATGCTTGGTGCTTCGTCACGCACTCCTCTCCCACTTGTGGGAGGCGTCTAGCAAGTGATATGATAAAAGATGGAGGAATTTAGTTCAAAAAATAAAATAGTGTCTCGAATGCCTTTATCGTGCTAGTGTGCGGTGGTTTCGGGAGTGGCAGCTAGATAGCGCGAAACACACAAACTGAGAATCCCAACTCCGGCGTATGCGCGCGCCCGCAGGCTCGAATCCCTTTTGTCCTTTAATAGACGCCGTTTGCTTACAGAAAGCTGGCGCTGGGGCTCACACGAAGATTATTTTCCATTTAAAACAATAATTAAAAACTAATTCCGTCCACTGCTAATTTGGCAAGAAGCAATTGTTGCGCTGCCAAGATCTTGCTTGAAATCCTAATTAAAATTGAATGAAAAAGTAAACGCCACTTTGTGACGGTAAAGCCGAATTAAAACTTTTCGCGGAGAAATAATTGTACAACTGAACAAACACCGTAAATCCTTCCCGATGATCTCATCTCGGGAAGTAAGGCCTTGTGCAAACAGGTCAGCAATTTACTTTACTGAAAAGGTGAATTTGATTAGTAAAAACTTGCTCCTGTAAAAAAGGATGTTGGTGATGATGATGTTAAATGCATGTCTTGCCCGCGAGGTATTTGAAAATCCGAGCTTGAATTCTCCGTAACTTGAAAAAATAGCCGCGCTTGATGGTAGACGCTCGTATTTTTATCTTTCTTCAAAGTTTTTGCGTTTCTTGTCTATAATTTCTTACAGTCCTCCGTTACTAAGCTTATACGCAAAAACAAAAACTTTGCCAACAGCATAGAACGAAGACCTGAAAAGAAGCCATAAATGAACCGGCATAAAACTGCATTTATGTTGTTTATTTAGGTCCCTTTAACGAGAAAACCTATTCCTTCCGCTCCCACTGTAGTTTGAACAAGCAATAAAAGTGAATCGCCGCTTCCTAATTCGCGGAACAAAAGAACTTGAAAGCAAGTGCGCGACAAACGAATGAAAGGAAGAGATTTCGATATCACTCGCTAAATATTGAACTTGGTGATTCAAACATAAACACTGCAAAAACATGTCTGGAAATGCAATTTCCTTCACTTCACAAGCATGTATCTAATTTAGCTTTTAGCCGCGGGAGATTCGCGGCAATTCTTTTCCGCCATCTTGACAAATAGCAAATGTAGCTCGCGATATTAAAAAAAGGTCTGATTTGAATTTTATTACTTGTTATACCAAGTTTTTCCGCCGACTGATTTATGTAAACATTTCACGAAAGCGCGTTTGTGAAAGCCGGTGGCAGGTTGCGGAAAGAAAATTAATTGCGCGAACCCGTTCCCGTGGGTTTCCTTTACAAAAAATGTCTGACGAATCACTTAACAGTAATTGCTTTTTATTGCTTTCAGTTGTTCAATTTCGTCAGTCAATCGAACACAACATCTTGAATTATATAGACTATTATTTCTGAAGACACATTTATATAGATGTCGCTTTAAATAATTAATTCACTCCGTATAAAAATACAAATCTATAGTGGCAGTATCAAAATGATTAAGTTACTTCAAAGTCATGGCGTTTTCAATGAAACGTTTCATTTCAATATTTCGAGCCATATCAATCGGTAGCAAACCATTGTCAGTCTCTGTAAATAAATCTGCGCCATGCTCTATCAATATCGATGCTGTGACCGGATTTCCTTGGTGCACAGCCTCATGAAGTGGACTGCTCCCATTTAACGATTGCCTGTTTACCTCAGCACCGTGTAAAAGTAACAGTTTCACTCCTTCCGAATCGCCTCTCGCCGCTGCTTCGTGAAGAAGCGAGATGCCCCTGCTATTCAGTTCGTTTATGTTAGTAATTTCGTCAATTTTCCTTGAAATGGGCGATGAATTTCTTCGCGATGGAAATTGGTAGCCTTCCGTCTGCATCACTCGCTCGGCGGAATTGGGAAATTTCCCGGGAACTGGGAAAATGCCAACAGTAGAAGCACGTAATCGCTGTTGATGATTTTTACCCGAACTATTTTGTTTTGAAATTTCTGGCGGTGTATATTGCCTAGGTGTATAAATGCGTTCATCCTGTTTCAAATCGTGGGTTGTATGATATTTTACGACATCCGGGTAAATGTTTCTCGAAGTTACACGTATTCGATCATAAGCGTTGTTGTCCCCACTCGAGTTGTTGTTTTGCTTGGCTGTTGTGGTCAGTGTTCCAACATTTCCCCCGCGCTCATATCCCTCCGAAATGCCCGCGGAATTTGTTGATCCCGAGCTGTAGGCCGAGTCGGAAGAAGTAGACGAATCGGACGAGTTTGAACACAGGGATGCTGTCGAACGCCTTTTCGCGATTTCTTGTCGACGTTTCCCGCATTTCGGACAAAATGAACAAGGATAACTTCCTCCGTCCAAATCAACCTGATTTCTGGAGAGTTCGAGAATATTACTAGTGGGTAATACAACACTCATAGGTCGTCGGATATCCATTAACCTCTCCAGATCTTTATCATCATATCTGACGTTTGCGTTTGGATGTCTTGACTCACCAAGTGCGTCTAAGGAACTGCGCCTTATTTGCGTTTCAGCACTCAACGGCTTTTTCGAAGGTACAATTTCGCTCGCTGCTCTCTTTCGTTCTTGCTCCATTCTCATAGCATCGCTTTGTTGAAGCTTTTCCTCCAAAGCTTCCCGTACGTCTGGTCGAATTTTTAAAAACTCCTCCACGTCTTTGGCTAATCCAGCGCGCCGCATAGCTTCGGCGAGTATTACAACCGATTGTAGATCGCGCGCCAGATCGATGGCTTGTTCCCCTTGATCGTTTTCTAATCCCAACTGGGTTCCCATTGCAATGAGATAACGCATAATCGAGTGATTCTGCGCCACAGTAGCGGCGTGCATGACGCTCCAGCCCTCCTTATCCTGAATGTTTATGTCCGCACCATACGTTACCAGCAACTGCACAAGCTTTAGAGGCCCTGTAAAGCAGCTCCGTTGCAGCGCGGTAATGCCGTCCTCGTCGATGTCGTCAACGTGGAATTGCGATTCGTTCTGCTCGAGCAGAAATGTCACCCGCAACACGTCCTTGCTGTGGACCGCTTCGTGAAACAATTCCACTGGTTTGCGCTTCACGGCAAACTTCAACATCGTGATCAATGTCCTTGTTCAAAGCAGCCCTGCTTTGTTGTTTTGGTTACTGATAGCTGTGCTATTCTTTGCGAGGTGTGGGATACACACGTCTGTGTCGCGTCGCGGCCAGTTGCTTATGAAAGCCGACCAGGTTTACATACAAAGGAAATTACCACCTTTCGCGCACCAACAATGCATCGGGGGCCCAGCGGATCAACCCTGTAAGGAAACAGTTATGTATACACGTCAAGTTGTATTGTTTCTGTGATTGCTCGCAATGACAGTCAATTGATAGGCCTATTATTAACCCTTATTGCTTGTCTCCTGTGGAAGTAATTAAATAGCCCTAGTGTTTTTCAGGTCATGGCCTAAAAGTTTGTTTTACGAATGCCGCAATTAATGTCATATTAATTCTTTTTCTTAACTTCAAAAGTGTCTAGCCTCTGAATGTTGTGATTTGACATATCTGAAACGCGTTTGGCGCGGTATTTCATTTGTTTCGCATTGTTTGCCTTCCTTTCCTTTGTTCACTCATCAAGCTTTTAGAATAAATGCTTTTTTATAATTACTCACTACGACGCGTCGAAAAAATGTTATCTGAGAAAATATGAACTCCCTAATTCTTTCCTGACTCGACAGATTTCATCAGAGATTAAAATAGCTATGTTCTAAGCTCAACTTATGAGGTACCTTAAAAATCCATTTTTACCCAAAGAATTGTTAATCAAGATTTTCATTTTCGTCATTTTCCAGTTGGATGCTTCTTAAAGTGGACTTGTTTTACTGAAGGATTTAGTAATTACTGGTAATAGTTGTTTGCGCTCGAAATTAATTAAAAGCTAGCTTTTACGGGGCTCTCGCCTAGAAGCCTAAGCTAGACAAAACAGTGTTTCGTGACGATAATTATAAGTTCTTTCAACTCTGTTTTCCAAAATTAGCATTGATATAGATATTCCTTCATAATAATAAAAACAAAAACACTGAATGTATTGTGTCGAGCATTAGACCCCCTGTGCTCCTGCGGTGTAACCACAAGATATCAACGTTCTTTTGCCTTCGGCAGTCAATCTCAATCAAAGCGTAAACTTTATTTCTGTACCGAAAGGAAACAGTTTCTTTTAGACCGTTTTCTCACATTTCAAAGGAACAGTTGGGCGAATAAATTCATTATGTAATGATCTGTCATTTCTTGCATAACATTTGTGTACTTTTTTTAAAATAGTGTCTTTTTTTTCAGTGTCCTTGATACGCGAGTGACTACTGAATGAACACTCTAGGAAGAATTACTATTGCAGTTTTATAATAACACTTAACTTATTTTCCGTTTTATCAGGTGGCAGTGGTGATAAAATTGAGGCATTTTATGAGAATTATGAATGACCCATCAGTCTATAAAAAAAAAATGGTTAAAACTTAGACCTGGACTTTATTGCATGGGCTAGAAACAGTTGAGCAGTTTATTCCGGTGCTGTTTACTTGTTTCGTAGTGATTTCTTTTAAAATTGTATCCTGAAGTTTGAACTTCCGTCGGACTTTTTATTTAAATGAAAAGAATTTTTTTTCGCGGTGTTGCAACCTTTTAAAGAGTGATCAACTTAATTACGAACATTCATTTACCCCTAGCATATAACATACGAATTCCATTTATTATTATAAACTTCTGTAAACTTTACGTGCGACGAAGATTAAAATCCAATTAAGCTATTCTAGCCGATCAATTCGTTGGGAAATGTGTAATATAAATATTTTTTGGCGAAAAAGCAGCTTAAAGTAGTTGCAAGCTATGTTGAAAGAAACGCTGTTTTCAAAACTCACCTTTGATTTGATTTTCTTTGATAAACCTCAGCAAGATGCGACAAGAAATGACCGCATTAAAAAATGCCGAAGATATCGAACGAAAAGGTTCAGTGAGTGTGTCACGGGTCAGTGATCGGCGGTAAACGTTTTCAATCAGTAGTTAAACCTTGTAGTGCTCAATATCGTGGTATTAGGACTTCGTCCTCAAATGCACAAACTTGTGGTTTTGAATAGCCTTTAAATTGTTTGTTCCTTGAAAGTTTGGCGTGATTTTTCCCTGTGAGGAAATAGTTTACTATTTGCCGATGTGATAAGCCACCTTGCTGTACTCCCCGGAAATGTCTAACAGAACACAGGAAACTAGTCAAGAGATCTTTTTAAAGAGATTACACGTTGCCCACGGATTGAATTCCATTCTTCAAAATTATCGCAGATCTGCCGGTGTGTGCATATGTGCGGTCGCGCGGTAGCAAGAGACTTACAAATTGAAAGTCCAGACTATTAATCGTAGATGTAAGAATTGCTGCTTGTTTTTCTGCGCTCTGACGTTAACCATGCGTTAACAGATAGATTATTTTGGGATAGCTTATTCAGGTTTTGTGAAGTGCCTTGTAAAACAGATTGTCTAAAATTCGTTACGGTACAAAGATTCTGTTTCAGAAATATCCGCGCTGATTACAAAACAAAATAAAAGTTCTAACCTGTATGTTCCATGGACTCTATTAGAGAATCCAGAAGATCTCTCCCATTTTTGAGTCAGTAATTGAGACACTGAAGTGTTACCATTTAACTGAAAAAAAAGACGGTTCTTCAGAATCAATTTATGTCTTTTTTTCTAAAAGGGTAAAAAATGATTGTACGATCAGTTTCCTGCAGGTTTTTGTCGAGGAAACTAAATGATAGAGAACTTTAACAAAATCTCTGTGGGTCATATGGCAAATGAAATGCTTCCAAGAATGCTGCCAAAACTGGTTCCGAAAGGCATATTATTGATGAGGAAATCGGGAACGGAATTTCCACAAGTGTTATTTTTAGTTTGCTTTGCGTGCAAGGCCGAGGTGGAGTGTTCCTTCAATGTGTTGGTATTAATTTAAGGATGTTTATCCAAAACAAAGCGATGTTAATCTACTTCAATTCAAGGCATTATTCGCGATGTCGTTATATTTTGCACATCACTGATGGCTAGTATGCATGGACTAGTGTTTACCCCTGGTCTGCATTTTTTCGTTGCGGTTTGGGAGTGTAAGTCGTAAAGAGCTCAATCTCAGTTTTAAAAATAGTACGATAAATATGAAATTGGGGGACGAATATTTCCGAGACTGGTGCATGGGCATATCGAGGTGGCGGGCAGAATTTTGAAAATTTCCACACCTGTTGTTTTTAGTTTGAGAGCTAGGCGTTGTACCGTGTTACTAAAAGTTGTGGCTTTTGGTATAAGGATGTTTATCCACACAGCTGCATAATGTGCAGTTCAAGGAATTCTGTTTTGACGTCGTTGTTGAGTTGAGCCTTCCCTCTTTTCACAGGAAGTTTTTACGTAAAGACTTCCTTAATCCTACGCCACGAGAGTGGAATGTTCTTCCAAGTGATTCAACTTTCTACAAATGAAAACAGGTTCTTTTAATCTGCGATGGGTTCTCGTTCGCTATACCTTGGCTGCTAGGGGAGCCTAGTCCGACACTTTGGTTCTCTCGCCATCCAGTTCAAAAATTTTTGTTTAAAGTTCAGTTAGACTGAGTTCAGTTGAAATCATTTTGTGATGCGTTGGTTATTGGTGACTCACTGTTGCATAGCAACGTTCATACATACTACGGATCATCGGTTTGCAAACCATAACAGGAATTGCGCACGCGCTTTACAAGTTATGGCCCCAAATAACCTGCCCCTGTATACGTACAGCAAAAACGTGCCGTGATCGACGTTCGCATGTGCTATAAACGTGATTCTGCGCCACACAATGACTCGTGATGATCTTATGCGTATTGTTATCATCCCTGTCGATCCTAGAGTATTACTGTGTCTCCCTCAGAATGAACACTTCAGTGACTTTTAGTCTAACAAAATGTATTAAAACAAAACCTTTTCAACAGCTCATGCATCGTTCTGTTTTGTCTGCTTTTAATTGATCCCACAGAGGGTTCGGAATACCCCTGGGGTGAATAGAGATACCCCAGGTACTCTCGACGTATCTGAAGCAAGGTCAACCAACAGGGAGCCGTAAATAAACGGGTTCTCGGGCGTTTTTTTGCTTTTTGATAAAAAATAAGGCACAGTATCCCATCTATAAACCCCCGCTAAGGCTAGTAAGAACAACGATCAATATTACTATTAGAAGAAAAAAGTGTCGGTAATTATCTTTCACAATTTAAATAATACTTTAGTGTTCGCTATGCAGTGCAGCTTTTTGGCGTGACCTGTCTATGGCAATTTTTGGCCCAATTTTCCGTGTCAAAAGGTTTATTATTGGATTATGTATATGTGAAATATGTATATGTGTTAGTATTGAACGAGTAATTTTTGCAAAATAATAATGATAATAATACTATGCTAGCTGGCTAACTGTTCGTTATTACTGAAATAACCAGATGTTAGCATACCAGTTTGAGATCGGAGCGATTGATAAATCAGCTTATTTAGCAGTTGTCTAGCTAAAAGCGCCAAAGCTATGGACACCCGAGCAGATAACAGTGAAAAAAGAGAAACGTTTGAAATTTCTAGAAACTTTCAAAGCTTCTCGTAAATGATAAACTTCTCAAACATACCCTTAAGTATCGAAATTACAGCGCAAATCATTGTGACAAAATTTAAGATAAACAGGGCGTGCTGACGAAAAAATTCTAGATGATGAAGCTACTTATAAACATATAAACTTACCACTCATACCTAAGAATTCGACGCAAAAGCATAAGGCAACGGTGTAGTATTCAGAGAAGAGGCCGTGGTTGTATGCTATGGTGATGCAATGTCTAAATTCATAGTGCATGGATCTTCAAAGCGCCTCAAACTACAGCGAAACCTGTTCACCCGGTATTAACCACTGTGAACAATTTACCTGAGTTACTCCATTTTATATATTTTTTCCCCTAAAATCTTAAGAAATAAATAGTATCGTATGAAAGATTTGCCAAAGGGGTTTGTTTGATTAGGAACACTACAGGATTTCCTCATCGGATTTTAACGATAGAGTGACAAATCATCTCCGTCGCCACTGATAATTTGGTCTATGGAGTCAGATGCTTGCTTGAGTCCGCTGAGTATAGAGATGTCCATTTAATAGAGGGAAAGCGAGTGCGCGTCTTACTGACGCTTTGTCCGCTACACGAGAGGCTTTAAAAGCGAGTGTATTGGTCTGTGGCAGGTTTTACTGCGTGCTTATACCAATTTTACCGTTGTTAATTTTATAGATAATGAAGCTTCTAATAAAACAAATCAACTTACTACACCTACCTCTTTTTGAGTTCGACGTAGATACACTAGATGGGTTTTTGGCAGAATATTTTGATCAGAAGTATAAGAGACTGTTATAGCTCAGTGTTTTCTATGGTAAGAGTTCTTTGCATGCAAAGTCCATTGACCTTCAAAGTGTCTAAACACGCCAATTTTAGCTTTGACTTGGGAAAGGTCTAAGCTCAGCGGGAGTCGATTATCTCGGCGTGGTACTTGCTAGCCACCTCGCTCGACTGCACGTGTGGCCTTTCTAGCTCAGTCCTTATTTGGAAATTCTCGGTCTTGTGAAGAACTCTGTTATCACACAGCACTTAAATTTCGTTTATCGCACTTGTGACTGCGATAATGGCGTTAAATATCGCAAGTTGAAGGATATAGTCTAGTGTTCAAGATTTGTCTGCCTGCATTTTGTGCCTACACAGATAAAATGTGTCATTTTTACTCCAGACCACACAAGTACAAATGTTTTCAGTTTGTACTTCTTTCTTTATTGCTAAAAAAAGACGAAAGCCTGTCCGTGTTGCGCTTTTTCAAACTAGAATTTATTTGCTAAGTGCTTTATAGAGTTTAACCCGGGAGTCGCCAATGGACAAGCAATAGAAAGGTGTTTGTGTTTTATCGCGGCGTAATTTTTTCTGAGAGCTCGACAACTACTAGGTTGGTCAAATAAATCGCGTTAATCATCTGCGGCTTATACGTTTGGAATTCGTTTTGACTGTCATTTGCAGCCCTCGAAGAGCCCTCCCATAAGTCTAGTGGTGTGCCTGCTTGCTTTGGCCCGTTGTTTCACTCGGCAAGAGTCAGAGTTTTATCGAATGCTTCGAAAAACTGAAAGGGCCGTTATTTTTATTGAGTTACTGCCCAATACGGCTAGGTTATTTCTTGCTGTTTATTTAATTATATTTATGACTGTTAATTCAGTGAACACCCAAGAATGCTAATCTACATGTTAACAAGAAGGTTAAAACGAACGCGACATGTCGGAACCTGAGCACTTGGAGCTTGCGACTAATCTCACTGAAAACGATTATTTTACAGCGAATGTGGAGTCTTTCGCATACCTCACATGACAAATCGGCCCTTGGAAACTGCTAATACGATAATCTTCAGTTATTTTATCATTACTGTTATTTTTAATTTTTATTTATTTATTTTATTATTTTTTTTGTTGAAAATGAGCTGAGGAAATAATGAATGGTAAACGAAATCAGTGGGTTATATAACGTGGAAGTGAAGGTTCGAGAAACCACCAGTCTCTTTTGGCGGCCGACCGCTGATCAAAAAAAAAACGACGACCCAGGTTGCGAGACTACTGAACCATGGCGATGACCATGCTAACGTATCGCACCATCTCAAAGGCGATGGTCATTTCTTACTCCAAAAGTCTACAAAAAAATATTGGACCTTATTTTTGGCTCAAAAATAGGTTTTTAATGAAGAAATGAGAGGGGGGCGGGGACCGACGTTTTCTGTTTTTGGCCAGTGTTGCCTAGTTGGAAAAGCCAAAATAAAAAACAAGAAAAAAAATAGAAATAGAAGAAAATTGACCAATTCCTAACTTGGTACTGTTTTTAAAGACTAGCAGAAGCTTTCGCCAGTCATTTTTCGGAAAAAATCTGTAAGAAATAGTATATGCGTCTTGGAATGTTGTGTAACGAATGGAACAAAATAGCAAAATTTCACGATTACTACTACATGGATTAAAAAAATAGAAATGGAGGACAAGTCGTTTAACTAACTTACAATGACTTTACTTTAGTAGTCATGTGTTAATTACGAGTGGGACATTTGTTATAGCTCCAAACAACCTCGATCAGGGATTCGTGCATGCATTTATAACATTCTTCGACGTTTAGTCTCAGAGATGCTACAGCTCAGAACTATGTTAAGAGTCCTACGTTTTATCATCTTGCAAAACGAAGGAAAACACTTTAAAGGCACAAATGAAAAGCTATTCTCACCTTTTGTTTGGCGAATGACTGCTGTAATTCTCTTTTTCGTTCGGAAAAATGAGAGGGATTGAAAAGTCCTTGCTTGAACAGATGGTGGTGTGGATTATGTGTGTTGATGGTCTTGTTGTTTTACGTGATACCAAGTTCCAAACAATGTACGTACATGATCTTACAGATATCCAAAGTAATCCGGACAATATGCCTATTTAATGTTCTTTTTGTCCATTTGCATTGTTGGAAACAATGGATTTGTATTGTTTTCTCGAGTCCCGGGACAGGACTCTTTTCAGAGAATGCGCGCCATTTTTCTTACGAACAATTGCTTCACACGTCAATACCGTATCGGTATATTGGTCCATTTATTAAGGCACAACATAACTCAGATCTTCGAAATTTTTCTAACCGATAAGCTCACGTCTGCAAAGCTGTGAACTGATCTCTAGTTTAACAATAGGTCTGCTGCTTTTACTCTTTTTACTCAATCGTCATCTAGTTAGAGTGTAATTTCCAATTTGGGTTCTGGTGATAGTGCAAGAAAGTTCTCTTTAGTGAAAAGAAAATCTGCGTTAACCCGTAAAGCCCCGATATCCACATGTAAATTCTCCACACTGATATCCCATACGTTTCTTTAAGAAACTTGTTGAGAGAATTTTATAAAAGGTCAATGCATTCTCCATTTGATGGTGACTCATTTTATAATTCTCATGATCTGTTCTCTTAATAATATATTCAGTGATATTGTTGGGTGAAAATTCAAGTTGGTCACTAAAAATTATCCCTGAGATCAACCTCGTTCCCAGGCTCTCGTTTTCTTTTTCTCCTTCCAGGGGAAGGGAAGGGAACGAGGTTGTTCAACAATAACCAAAATATCCTCTTCAAAAAACTGCAAAACGTAACGAACAAATTTGTCTGTTTCTGAAAGGAATGACCAGACTTTGCATTGCGCGCGTTACCCGGGAACCGTGACTACTTCTGGCTGCCAATAACACAGTGAACATTCCTTGGTAAAGCTGAATGTTTGCTGTTGTCACGTAGTGAACGGTAAACGTGTAAAGCATTGCGTTATTCCGGAACCATCACTAATCCTGGCCTGACAGTCAATAACAATGAAAATTCCTTGGTAAAATTTGCATCTTTACTGTCTCTTAGGTGAACTTTTAATTGGTCGTAATAGTCGATTTTACCACCTTGCCGAGCCTCAAGTTGTTGGTCACTAATCGTTTGCTTGTTCATGGCGTAGGTTTGACTTGGATGCCTGGCATCCAAGTGAGTTGTACCAGTTGGACGTGAGAGAGTCGCGCATGTAACGCATACTTTGCATATCTTCTTAACAGGCCATTAGACCTTTCATACAAAACGAGAAAAGATGGAGAAATTAATTGAATTTCCGAAACGGAAGTTATTAGGGAGCTTTAGCATCCGGGACGACGGCAACGGAGCACAAACGTCACTTTCAAAATGAATTCGCGTCTTTTTTTTTTTCAAACTTTGTCGCGTTTAAAATGTCTAATGTAGTCGAATTTCTCTCAAGTTGAATTCTTTTGGACCGCACTCAAGTTAAGAAAGGAAAAGAAAAATTCTAAGTCTTGTGTTAACGTCCTCCATAACACGTCGCATAAGGCAATTTCACGTGGAGACCGTGCAGTGACGGCAAAGATATGTACCAAAACGTGCAAATTGTTGTTTTGCTTATTAAACTTACTCTTTTTTGACATTCTTGTTGCCGTCACTGTCTTCGTTGCTAAAGCTCCCAAATGTCTTTAACAAATAGAAGCGTCTGTGAGAGACGTTTTTACGAAAAGAAATACTTCACTAACTACATAACAAGTGATGCTGAAAAAAGGACCAAAAACACAATCAAAGTGTTACTAAACTTGCTCGATTTACTATTGATTTCAGTTGAAATTCTATGATAACATAAGCTTCATGTCACTGCCAGATAAGCTTGTAAACTTATCAGAAAATTGAAGTTTGGTTGTTAGTTAGGAGAAACAAAAAAGAGACCTAGGCTAGAATTGTGTCTCGTTCTTCTCGTTAAAAATCCTTCCTGCTATATGCTAGCTTTATGTGTTTCCGGTTTTGTAGAGTACAGAAGATAATCAACTGGTTTTACAGCTTGCACTATGCTCATTCAACAGAGGAAAAGTACCAAAAACGAGCTATTTCCGCGAACGTATTTTCGTATATCTTACGGTCAGTAAACATCATTTTTTTCTCTGCGATCGCAAAAGACGGCGTATACACCGTATATAGCTTGCGTAGCTTGCTTTGTCGGGGAAAATAATATAAAAAACCCTTTCTTTTCCCTATTTTCCTCGCGGCGTCGCGTTTGCGTGTGCGCTGCCCAACAAAATCTCCAGCTATGCATGGTATAAAGTCGGCAGTCAAACGCCTGTAATGTTTTTTTGTCGGGACCGAAGCAAGATTATCTAACCGAATTACCTCGGTCTCATTTCCTTTCTCTTAAAATACTGCTATTACCTTAACATTAATTAGCGCTGTTTACTCTTACGGGAGAGTCTGAGTCTTTTTTTTTTTCTTCACAACCTATCCACGATTTCATATCGGCAATCAAAAAAATGGCCCACCCAATAAGATCGTAATTGGTTCAATAAATATGTTTGAGAATTTTTGAATGATTTTCGAATGCCGTTAATGAATAAAAATTAGCCCCGGTTCAGACGCCGAACTTTTCATCGGCCGAACCTCATTCGAATTAAGGCTGACCCAGATTATTTAGGCCGGCTAAATTGATTCAGACGCCGATCTTAATTCCAGCCGAACTAAATTCAGAAGGCGAAAAATGCTCGTTTCGGTCAAACTGCTTACAAAATACGTTATAATAAGTTATGCATTAGGTTCGTTACATGAAAAGTTCGGCGTCTGAATCAAAGTCGTTCCAAAGTCGATCCAAAGGCGAAATTCCCGGCCGGGCTAGGCGAAAGGAACGGCTGAGCCGTCCCAAATTGAAACAGGCTTTCCTAATTGGTTCAAACGCCGAACCTTTCATGTACGTTAATTCAATGTATTAGGTTCGGCTCATGAAAAGTACGGCGTCTGAACTGGGCCCTGAGAGGGTGTTTAAAGTTATGGAAAATTGAAAAATATTAATGGCTCTGGCGGTTGCTAAAAATTTAAATATGAAGGGAATGATTTGTAGACAAATAGCAAGATGCCCTGAGCTCATTAACGCACTAACTGTTTTATGGGTGTACCCTTTTCTACCCTAGTACGTTCTTTTATTCTAAATTCAACCCCATTTCTCCCCTCAAAAAAACAAGCAGGGTCCAGTTGTCCAAAAGGTGGATAACGCTATCCAGTGGATAGTGCAATCGGTTTTCCCAATACTTATCCGCTGGATAGTGATTTATCCGATGGATAGCGTTATCCAACCTTTGAACAACCAGGGCCAGACTGCCCCCTTGAGTAAAACACTTGGTATAAAAGTTCTCAGTATAATATCTGTGTAAAACTCCAGCAGGTTGCTCTTATCCTGACACATCGTAGAGACTCCGTATGTGTCGTGAATACTTTGTAGGAGCTGTCAGCCAATTGTTAGCCACCCACTTTTCTCCTTTAATGACGTCACATCCGCCGTGCAATGAGTACCGATCTACAGATCCAAGGAGACCGCTGTCCGGATCGATGAAGTTGTTGTACCACATTATGGCGGTGCCTTTCCTGGGTGGTATAACCAAATTTGCCATGTGACAGTTGACGCTCAGGTTAAATTCGTCCGTTGTTGCGTTGGGGTTTTCTAGCTCCTGCGTGATAAAAATGTATTAAGGCCGATTAAGACGGTACGATTTTTGCTTGCGACTATCGTGCGCGTCTAGTATGCGTCATGACTTCACGACAGATCGTGTCGTGTAAATTAGACCCACGACATTCGTACGGCACATTGTGGATGTGGTGAGTGAAAATTAAGCGAGAGTGGATGGGCCAAAGTCTTGACGTATGTTAGTCGCGCACGATAGTCGTAAGCAAAAATCGTACTGTCTAAATCGGCCTTTAGACAGCCCATCTATTGTTACAGTGTATTTGGTGTTACTGCAAACTGAATCATTGGATGATGCAATTTCTAGAGCTCTGATTGGCTTAGCCATCATGGTATATGAGCCATGAACTGAACGCGTGTGCTCAAAATTAAAAACAAGCTGAAAATTAGTTGTTTTTAAAAATAAAGTCGGGAAGAATTCTCGATATTTTGTGGGCGTTCTTAATGAAACAAATTAATTATTCCACTCGCGCTTGTTGGATATGAGATGATTATAGCCAACTCATATCCAACGCGCACTCGTGGAATAATTGTTAACAATTTGTTAAACCTTTGAGTTCAAAGAGCGACCAACATCAATTTTCTCCTGACAATATCCTCACATTTTCAAGTGAAAAGGTAACGAGAATTAATAACATGATCACCAAAGGAGAAAATGCTTTGATCTTTAGTTAAATTCTTTCAACTAATTCTTTAAGGGCGAGTTTGCATGTGGAGGTTCGCCCCATGTAAGGGAATGCGGAATCCATGAAACTTTTGCGTATGGAATCCGGAATCCACGAAACTTTTGCTTATGGAATCCGGAATCCATGAAACTTTTGCTTATGGAATACGGAATCCGTGAAACTTTTGCTCATGGAATCGGGAATCCGTGAAACTTTTGCTTATAAAAATTTTCCCTGTGGAAACCGGAATCGGGGAAAATTTTGCTTGTGAAATCCTCAATCGGGGAAAATTTTGCTTGTGGAAGCCGTAATAGGGGAAAATTTTGCTTTTGAAATGTGGAATCCGGGAAAATTTTGCTTGTGGAATCCGGAATCCGGGAAAAGTTTGCTTGTGGAATCCGGAATCCGGGAAAAGTTTGCTTGTGGAATCCGGGTTCCTGGGCTTTGGAATTCGGATCACAGCTCAAGAAATCTGGAATCCTTGTGACGATTGGAATCCGGAATCTAAGTCCAACTGACAAAGACTGGAATCAAGTACCTGGAATCCAGAATCCACGGGCGTGAAATCCAGAATCCAAGACTGTCTTGGATTCGCTTGCATGGGGGTGAAGAGTGCGGTTTAGTTCCTGTGGACGAGATACCAAGCTAAGCTCCTGTGCAGTACCGTTTCTAGCGGCATGCACAGTTTATTATGCTGTGCAAGGTGGTACTGACTTTTGAATCTGTAAATGAAACTCTCGAGTATGAACACTGATTCAAATGAATGCTACTGAGTATTGCTTTCTTGTCCTTTCCCAACTCATAATCATTAGAGAGAGACCTCGTTAACTTGAAGGTAAACTCAACCCGAGAAACCCTCAGTTTGGTTTTAAAAGCCTCTCTCACACTCCATCGTCAGGGGACAGGCAACACCCTCCTCAAGAGTATTTCAATGGAGGGCCTTTGAGTAGGGTTGTTTTAATAGTCACTTAAGAAATCATCTGCAAATATATTAGCCTTGCGGCTTAATTTAATTTGTCTTTACCTGTGGTGTGATTGTGGTGTTGTCTGCTATGAGAAATGCCGTCTCTCCTCCTTCTTCCACATCATTCAGGTAATAAAGTATCGTTATAAATCTAAAAAACAACGCGGTACACGTATGTAAGCGAAACCTACTAAAAGAACAACATGCGTTTGGATAAAGGTAGATCTGTGCTAGGCGTGAGTGACCACGTAGAAATGGTGTCCCGTCTCTGTAGGAGACAAAGTGCCCTCAGTTCGTGCAAAATACATTGGCATTTTGATAAAGTATAGGTTTTTTCAAAATTTATTAAGTTTCATGTAACAACTCTAATCCTGAGAAATGATGTGATCAACATGTCACGAGCACGGGACAAAGAAAAAATCCGAGTCACCGACGTCAGGAATTGAACCTATGACCTTCCGTAAACCGGTCGGATGCTCTTTTTCTGAGCTACGAGGGACTCTTGGCGACCTGGGTCATACAAGGTTCATGTATGAAACCAGTCCTGCTACTCTAATCCTTTTTCACTAAAGAGCAAAGTAAGCCATCAGTTAAGATCGGTTCTCACCTACAAACTCGACAGTCTGACTTTCTAAAGTGGTTCTGATGACAGCAAGGGACTGTGGGACCTTCAATAGGGTTTGAATCCAGGTGACCATGGTAATGACCAAATGGTTGATACTGAACAACCTGAATACAGCAAACAGTTTTTGAAAATACTTTGAGAATATCAACTTTTCCGTGTCTTTGAAACAGAAAGGTTGCGTAAGCCCAAGTTTAGTAAGGCTACTAAAAGCTTTTTGTTTCGTAAAGCAACAGTTACGTACAGCAGTTAAGCCTGTAGAAGTGTCTGTTGGTTTTCATTGTGTTCGCAGGAAATCTTGGCTGATATGTAGCAAAATCGATCGAAACGCAAACACCAACGAAAGTCCCAATTTACTGATTGCAACTACACTCTCACCTGGCAGTTCTTAGTTATTTTACATTGGTATGCCTGTGGTGTGGACGGACGGGCGGACGTACGGTCACGTGACTACCAAAACTTCCAGGATACATAAGTAACCAAATTTTCTTACCCATGGTGCTCCGCGGCGCGCGCTTATAATTCCACTACTTAAGTTTCAGTTTCCCTCGTCTTTTGACATACTTAGCCATTTCTGACCTGCATCCATTCACCGCCTTGAATCACTATTTCCGGTAGCTGAGTTAACTTTGTTATCCTGTATAAACGGCACAAGGACTCGTTTCAAATGAACGTATTCACGATACCCGCCATCTTTGCACGCGCTTTAGGACTGTCACTTGGTATTCCAGGGGCAAACAAGTTATAATAATATTTACCAGTACGAGTAATCGCGGTCTAATTTGTGTTTTTTCCTGCAGGGCCCCTTTTATTTTGAAGAAAAAAAAATTGTGATCGGGCCCTCCTGTCTCATGGTTTGGCTGACCGCCAGAGCCCCACCCCCACCCCCTCCCCACCCCTTTATCTGAAGGTCTGGATCCGCCAATGCATAGTCCCTTTAATATAACTCATGAATGAAAGGATAGCGTCTTCTACCTACCGCCCTTGTTCATTATTCGCTGTTCCTCTCTCCATAAAACGCATTCTTACAATTTTCAATTCAATCTTAAATCGGTGCAGGATCGCGTGTTGCGAGAGTTCTTAGACCGAGTTATTTTCTTTGGATGTTCTTTGGGTAAACATTAATAGCATACTGACATTGTTAAAACCTATCAGTTGAATGAAGTGAATAGACTGAGCCCACCTCTCTAAAAGACGCCTCAATACTGGGTCGGAGTTCTTATCTTGACGTAGCCAGGTCTGTTCGCTGAAGCGAGGTCTGTGTTGAGGACTTTTTTCCTTCAAGAAATCCATGTACCAAAGTATTTTCTTAATGTTGATCTTAGCAAAGGCTTGGCGACTGAGTTTGCCTACGATCAAAAAACAAAATTATTCTGTTAGAATTTTTAAAGATATAATAGTTTAAGGGATAAAAGTTATATTTCTCAACTTGGCTATTGGATTATAGCGTTTAGGTATAATTGAACAAATGCCATCATAAAACGTACCATCCTCAAGAATCTTTGATAATTGCAGACGTTCATACCTGGCAGAAGAAATGATATAATAGTAGAAAGATGTCTTAAATGATTGATTGGTTGAAGGCTGGTTGGAAGGATTGTTTGATTGACTGATGATTGCCTTGATTTTTTTAAACTTGCTGGTTAGTTAACCGAACACCGCCTCTCAGTTGAACTTATTTGACTGTTTAACCTATAAATTTCCCATCCATTCAATCGTTCACCTCTGTCGTTCTCCTCATTGCTTTGTTCGGTTACTTTGTTAGTTGGGATATTGATTTATTGATTTATAAGGACTGACATGAATGGAAATATATGAAATGTCTCATATTTTGAACTGCGGTTAAAGATTTGAAAGTGGAAATTATAAGTATCCTCATAGAGACGGGGGGCTTATTGAATTTAGAACCAGAATACATTGTGGAAAAGCGCAAGTACAAGAAGTTGGAGATCATGCAGCCGAGGATCAAAAACAAAGCCGAGCTTCCAGTTGGTGAATAAACCAACCAGGATCAGTCCACACGAAGTGTTACGGTCATGATTGATTAGTACACTCTATCAGTTATTAGTGAAAAATAATTAGGAAAGGGGAGGCTTAAAAGAGGTGGGGGTGGGGGGGGCTGATTAACTTTCTTCCCCTGAAAAGGGGGCTTATTAGAGAGAGGGCGGGGGCTTAATAGAGGATTTTCGGTGACTTTGTTTGCAAATGTTTAGCTTAAGAGGTGTAGTCTCTTCGAGAACATGCATTTATTTAACTACTTACATTGCAGAAACTTCATCGTCCCTCATGTACAGAAGCTTTCGCTTTCGGGCGAAATGTTTTACCTAAATGAAATAATAACGTATGTTGTGACAGTGTGTCTGCTAACATGTAAACCAATGCATACACTCTTTCAAAAGTAGGCTTCCAAACCGAGATGGTGGGGTATAGTTCCAACTGGGCTCGCTCGTGGCATATTTCCAGCCTGAGGTTTTTCTCTCATGTAATTGGTTCTTTCTTTTACTTTACAAACCAAAATTTGGTTATTCAATATGGTTCCGATGGCAAATGTAAGCTATCATGGCATATTTTTACTTGTTTAGTGTTTCTTTTTGCCGCCTTCTGCTTTTTTTTTTCTTCGGTAATAGAGCGCCTCACACTGGCAGTTGCCGTGCAGAGGTATTATACTGGTTGTTTTAATTATATATTTTATTATTATTATTATTAATTTTTTTTTGGGGGGGGGGAGGGGTTGGGGAAGGGTTGGAATAGGATTTGTTTAAATGTCACTGCTCAGTTAGCCTGATGGCAGTGTGTTAGATCATTTAGTGGGGGGCAAATCGAGATTGAACTGGCCACCATTATGTCAGTTGTCACCTACAATTTAAATTAATAGTTGTTCTGAGTACGCTTTGAACTGAGTCAATTGTAGTTACCTCATCTGCATCGATGAAGCTATCTTTATTGACATCCCAAATTGAAAATTGTCCAGCAAATTTCTCGTCATGGTCTAATGTCCAGTTGCCATCTAAAAATAAAGGAACTACAGTTACTTGCTCTGCATGGTCAAATTTAGTTTATGATGCTGACGACGATTTATTTGTTTATTCTCTAGTGTTACACCCTTAGCTTTATGGTGAGCTGCGTTGATTTTTTTTTCCAGAATTTGAAATAAATTTCAGTGAGATCGCAGTGGAAAATAAAGAATCATGTAGCGTGCTATGTCATACGACAACCTTTCTCGGGTTTCAACACCACTAATCCCGTTTTGCTCATTTAGTTACAAGCTTTTTTTCCCCCGCGACCTCAACATCTAGGCTGTGGAGAACGAGCATCACCAATACCCACAGAAATGCCAATGGTGGCCTTGCGAGTTCTAACTGGGTCGTTTAAAGTAGGGGGCTGCACATCGTTCATAACCTCGCCATTTTTTCAACACACTCCCTCAAAAGAACGCGGTGTGTGCAACGAGAAGTGCGAGTGGATAGTGAAAAAAGAGCGGGTGAGTCATCCACCTCCACGAAGTCCACACGCGGGTGACACTCGCATTCATCGAATAAGCATCGAGAAAATAGCGGGCAAGTTTGGTGCCACAATCTCAGATAACAGTGCAAAAGCTCGCGGAAAAGGACTAAACGCGACTCTCCATGCTAAATTTGCAGTTCTGCCATTGGCCGAGTCGGTTTTTAGATCTGCACGCGCTGGAGTCACTGCCGTCACGTGTTCTTTGCAAAACAACAAAACCTCTCACAAAAAAAAACGATCTTACGCGCATCATCCTGCCTTCAATCAAGGGCTACACTTAAGCTCATACTACAACTATTACCCGCTTCTGCCATGTCCTCGTCCAAGTCCCCCTCGTAAGCTTTCATATCAAACCCCGCTATGCTCATGGCGAGGCCGTTTTCCTTTGCCAGTTTAATGATATGATCACATTCCTCCTCCGATAAGAACTCCGGGATTTCTGTTGATCAGTAAGAAAATGATAGCAAAGGCTCAGTTTCCCCGTTGAGGGTGATGGTACTGAGTAGCCATCTTAATTTTCAAGTCTTTACAACTTACCGAATAACAAAGGCTTAAGAGCTCTGGTGATCATTTGATGTTTTCTCCCTTCCTCTAATTCTACCCATCTCACGTGACCTTTCTGAGGATGAAAATCATAAATTTGGCGGTCAAAAATCAATGATCAAATACGTACAGGATAGACAGGTATTTGCCAGTAGACTGCAAACCAGAAACTCCACAGAATTTAGTCATTTCAAGAGCCAGTTGACAAATCACTTTAGAACTAAAGGAAGGGCAAGGCTGCATTCTTAGCGACCTTTTCACTAGTTTTTCTTGGATTTTGGAACTTATCGTTTTATTATCATTTTACTGTTCCTAGTTTTGTAGTAATGATAATTTATAACCAATTGATATGTAGATTAGTTGGTTAGGTAGTATAGTAATGAGTCACAGGTAAAGAGCCATATTTTTAGTTTATGGATATTGTATGAATAAACCATTGTTATTATTATTAATGTTATTATTATTATTATCATTATTATCATTATCATTATTTAACAGTCGTTGTTGCTGTAAATTTTTCGAAACTTGTTTTCGTTTGACAGCTCGCGGGTTCTTGTTTACAGATATTACTCTCTCCTTCGCAATTCAATCTATAATGGTAATAGAACTGAGTGGAGCCCAATTCAGTCTGTAATCATAATAGTGATTAACAAGATTGGACGACATGAAGTTCTGTTACCAATTAATCGTAACTATAAAAAAGTTTCTGATATTTTAGACTTTTCCAGACTTAAAGTACAAGAAATTCCGAGATCAAGAGTTTTTCTGCTAGCAGTGAAAAACAAGCCATTTTAGTCCGCGCGTGTGAAGGCGCTTACTGTTTAATTACAGGCATGACGCGCTGAAAACAGGACAGTTTATAGCCAGTCAGATTTGAGACTTTTGTTATGTTTTTGTGAGCGAACAATCGGAGCAAGACCTTAAGCCGAAAGAAATTAGTATAGGTAATAGCATGATTTGTAGTGATATTTGGCATAAATACCACCGAGTGATATTTCGAAATTGTTATACGTAATTTCACGAGCCGTTAGGCGAGTGAAATTTGAGACAATTTTGAAATATCACTAGTTGTCTTTATGCCAAATATCACTAGAAATTATGCTAATATTTGTTTATACTACTACCCGCAAAAGGTTTGTGATTATCACATGTAGGTACTTCAAATTAAGCTGAAATACCACTACTCTAAGCCAATCAAATTGCGGAAATTTCTCATGTAGTAGTATAAAGCCGAGTATTGTAAGTCAGCATTGCGTTTTTTTATAAATTTGCATGTGATGTGTTATAGTTCTGATAACTAAAATAATCAACGAGATAAAAGGGATCCATCCTTTTATCAGCTTATGTCCTTCTTGTTTTTGTTTAATTAACTAAAGGGGCAGTATTACCAGAATCCTTCCAAGTTTTAGCGTAAACACGGCTTTAGTTTTAAAGTTTCATAACACAAAGAACTGAGCTATTTTTCACGGGCAATCCGGGGAAGGAAATTCTGTCCAGGCGGGGGTGCACGTTCATATAAAATGAGCCAATAAGGACTGTTAAACAACAACTATGGCTGGGACAAATTCATGTTTCAATATCTAGAAATTAAAGGCCTCATTTGACAAGTACTGCTGGTACCAGACTTTATGAAAATTAGCTCAGAATTTAACCAAAATACACAAAAATGTTTTATTATGAGTGAAGGAAGTCTATAGCATTGGAATGTAAGTTAGATTACTCAGCATATTGCCAGGTAAAATTCAGACCGGTGCCACAAGCGCATCTTTTATTGCTGTTGATCAGTTTTGTTTTACACTGTGGACCTGATTTCCGCCGATTGCGCATGCGTAAGCGTTATGCAATCAAGTCCCTTTCAAATGGTATATCCATAGAGGTACGTGTTGTTTTGCACGGACTTTGTGGTTACCGTGCTCCACTATGCTGTGAGCAGAATCTTTTCACTTTCCCGAGACAAAATATTTTCCTTTTGTTGAAAAAATTTCCTTTTTAAATTAAGCACTAACTTACCTGCTAAGCAACATTTTTAAATATAGCCATTCTTTAAGTTTATATATATATATGAAGCCAGTGCTTTTGGCCAATTTTAAAATTTAAGCCAACAAATTAGTAGTTCATTTTGGCATTATCCTTCGTTAGCTTGTTCTGTAATTGAACTATTAAATCAGTACACCCGAGCGGTATTGCTAATAAGTTAATTGGTTACCATACTGTTGTGTCTATTTTTGTTAGTTCTGGCGGTTTTCTGGCATAAAATTCAACGTACCTTCACTCCGTCTATGCGCACGAGCTTAATTTCATCTCCTCTTTCCTCGTGGCAAGTCTCTATGGGATCCGTACACAAATTTAAGAGCTCGTCTTCATTATAACACGGTCTCGTGTATTTTTTCGCTTTGTGTTCAGAATTTTCGGACGTCCAACTTAAGGAGATGAGGCAGTGAAAAAGAACCACAAAACATCCTCGCGACACCATTTTTAGTCCGTTGTAAAGGCCCTGTATTTACTAGTCTCCCAGGATGTCTCCAATAATCTACATAGCTACGATTTCAAGACTTAAATTATTCATTTTTATTAAAACACGAACAATAAGACGAGCACCACTATTATGTCTCTACCCGGCGTGTCACATGTGGTTGTATTGTTGGCGATGACTGCTGGCTCTAGGATCGCTTGCTCTAGCAACGTGATAGCGTAGTTAGCTTATTGACTCAATACGATAAAGTAAGCCAATTTACTATTCTACTTGGGGCTGAGTTGTGGATGGTGAGCTTGCTCTTAGGCACGCAAACTCACATCCCCAAGTTGTTGAAGGGAATAACCAGACACGTCTCTAGCTATTAGTCGACTGGAACACGTTTCCCCTGAATGATTCTAGGAAGAACGTTTATTAGTCATAACTGAGCCCACTGTATACCAAGCGCACAGCTATTAGGCCTGGGGTTAATGGTTTGGGAAATTATGTTAAAATTTGACTTAATCGTTTTAGGAGTGAAGAAGTTAACTGAGACAGGGTTTATATAAATCGCATAACGTGGTTAAGAGAGAAGAAAGTGGCAGTGCCTCGAGAAATGTGTCTGTGAAAAAAATGTTCTAAAGTGAGTGAAGAACGCGAGCGAGAACTAAAAGCATTGTCAGTAATGACGTCTCATCTTTAAGTTACCATATAATCACGAACTTCAAGAGCACCGCGCCGCATTCGTCGAAAGCACAAAAGAAAAGTACACCACGATGATCGACTTAAATGCGGTCGGACGTGAGAAATTGCCCTATGAGCAGTTGGGTAACATAAAAGTTGAATTTGTCATGAGTTTAGATGATTTGCGAAACTTTTTGGGAGTTTAGCAGAGAAAGTTTTTTTGGGTTTGAACTAAAGGTTACTGCAAAGTTGTCAGCGCTGCTAGTCACAATTTCCAAACGATATGTCTAAGCGATAAGATAATGCGCATGCGCTTGTAATTTCAACTGTGTCTTACGTATGTTCGTGAAAACGCGGCAATTCAGAAGTATGCAAAATTTACTTGTTGGAAACGAGGTAAAATAATTACCGTGCCGTCGTAGTGTTTTGCTTCTAGAACTTTAAAATTGTCACAGGTCGCAGGCTGATGATGGACTCATCAACGGTGAGCGCGTCCCACAGTGATGTCATCAATTGTTGCTTAAAAACGTCTTTAGTAATACTAGATCATTAGCTTTGCGCAGTGGCATTACCGTAGCCAGTGAGGTTCATCCGAGGCGCGGTTATTGCTGATTGAAAACTTTTCCCAATACCCCGCAAGACGACTTGAAATACAGTCGGCTTTGCAATTTTTGTCGGTCCACACGTGGACCTCAATAATAATTATAATGAAATTATCCTTCAAATAAATAGCCACTCGTTCGACTTACTATTTACAGCGGTCTTACGCATAGCGATATTTGAGGGTTTAACACATTGAATTATCACCTCGTGCAAATAGTCGCATCGTTCAAGCTAATTGCCTCCTTTTGAGGAAGTTCAAGCTCCTCAGCCAGTCGCCGATGTCAAATGCCTCGGCGTCTCCTGAAATTACCCAAGAGAATCCTTCCGCACCTCCTAGCGCCCTTCAAAAGGTAAAAAGAGGAAAAAAAATATTATTATTATTATATTTTTGCTATTCAGCATGCCTACATGAAAAGCGAATATGAGAACGACCTTTCTTTCGCTAAGTGTGTGAGGAACGAGCGAGCGAGCCGATGCGCGCTTTTAGCCTCTTGCACTTATAAAAATTAAACTTTCAGAAGGCTGATAAACATGGTAGTATTGTGGTGAGAGCTGTGAATCTCTCCCCCTTTAGTAGTGCAGTCTTAACCTTAAGTAACTATGCAGTGAAAAACTTCAAGAGCACCGCGCCGCCTTCGGCGCCCGCTGTGACGATAGGTACGGACAGTTCACCGCATGGATTGACCTGACCGCGGTCACTGCTTGCCCTCCTAGCATTTTCCAAGCTTTATGCCTCAGCGACAATATAATGCGCATGCGCTGGTAACTCTTGACCAGCTATAACTGATGCGTGTCCGTGAAATCTCGGTAATTCAAGAGTAAGCAAAACCACCTTGTTTGAATAAACGAAGCAAAATAATTACCGTACTGCTTTTGTGTTTCACTTCGAAGAAGTAGTAAAATACGTCAAAGGTCACAGGTTGACAAAAGTCTGATGAAAGGTGACCGCGTCCCACAATGATGTCAATACTTGTTGCTTAAAAATGTCTTTAATGACTCTTGATCATTGGCTTTGCGCAGTGGCATTACCGTAGCCAGTGAGGTTTATCCGAGGCGCGGTTATTGCTGATTGAAAACTTTTCCCAATACCCCGCAAGACGACTTGAAATACAGTCGGTTTTGCAATTTTTGTTGGTCCACACGTGGACCCATTAATATTAAAAAGAGAATTAGTTTTCAAATATTTCGCCACTTGTGTCTGACTGACAAAAATGATTATAGATCCCAATAGTATACATTGCATAATGTCATTTGTGATAATCACTGTTTTGCAGAAATTACAATCTGCCGGCAAAAAGTAGAGGATTGGAGCAATTTAGAAGTGCGCAGTGAGTCATGAGTTAGACAGCGTCAGCATGCAGAGACAAGGGTGATCATTCCGTTGCGGGTGCCTTCGCTAATGTTCTTTGGTGGTTTAGATCATCCTTTCTTTTATTGAAGTCTGTGGATGAAATCCTTTGGTGTGACTATTGAAATGAACTCTAGTCTCTTGAGCAGTACTATTGCATGGTACTATTTACTGAGTATAGTTCCAACTTTTGAGTGTTTGGACGAAACCCTATGGTGTGACTATCGGTACTTTCACTTAGTACATTTATGGAGTATCAGTTATTAGTAAAATCCAACTAGTGGTCTATTATCAATGCTGCGTTCTGATTGGTTGAGCTACTTCTAGGCTATATGTTACAGCCCACTAGAAGCGAAAGGCGCGGGCTTTTTGGTGGCAAAAAAGGACTAAAGTCTAGCTTTAACTAGCTAATTTTTTTTTATTCTCGATATTTTTGACCAACTAGTTGGATTTTTTTTTCTCTGAGTCAATAGCCCATTCGGCCTTCGGCCTCATGGGCTATTGACTCAGAGCCCATTCGGGATCGAGGAATAATTGTTAAACAGTTCTAACTTTTGAGTCTTCTGTGGACGAAGTCATATGATTTGACCATTCAAATGAAATCTCTTTAGCGGCATTTTCACATGATACTCGCACGTCAACCGGAAGTGGGCGTTTTTCTCTTTTAACTGATATCTTGACGCTACCAAATTTATATTGCTAAGTGTCTTTACTCTTAAACAGACGTTTTACCCAAGAATTTGTTCAAAATCACGGCTGAAGAGTGCAAAAAGTCCACTTCCGGCTGACGCGCGTCGCTAAAAAAACGTGAAGGTAATTCCTTTGATTTGCACTGCGCATCACCTACTGCGCAGAGCTTTGCGACTTCAAAGGTGGCGATGGTTTTCACCGGTCGGGTCACCTAAAAGAGGTAACGAAGGCCCCTTTTGTTTTCCAAATCCTTTAAATAGCGATCTTGATAACTCTACGGGGCTAAAAGGTGTTTGTCTTGAAGCTCGCCCCAGTCCCTTCGCGCACAATCCTAATTTGAAGACGAAATTGTCCCTTTCTCCAGTTGTCCTTTTGCTGTGAAACGGTGACCCCACCCCTTTTTATGTGTTTTTTACTCGTTATGGCCGTACAAAAACTATATCCAAAGAAGAATCTGGATAGTAGAAGGTTTAAATTTTTGGATATGAATGACGTGAAATCCCGTATGGGAAAAAGTTAAAATTAAACTGTCCATTTCTCTCCATTTTTTCAAGACCGGGTAATTTGAGGTTACTTTACTGAAATATTATAGCCCAGAGAAACAAACGGGTGTTAGGTTTTAAGTAAGATTCGTGGTTTTCTATATAATAAGAATTTTTGACAGTTGTTCAAGTTTTGAACATTTCGCACGCAGCTAGGAAAAAATACTCAGAATTATGGGCACGCAAGGCAAAAACAAGCACGACAACCCATCTTTTTATTACAGGTTTTGAATGTCCTCCTATACATAGCTGACAATTGTGCCAAGTACGTTTGAAAAAATCTGGATAGTACATCCTTTTCAAGGGAGTTACCTTAAACTCCCTATTGTTTAACGTACGAGCTTTCCCCTTCCCATCGTTCCTTGCGCACTTTCATCTGCGGAGGATCGAAGAGGGTAACCAGCCCATCACCTGGTGCGACACATTTGTACACAATGGAATTTGATTTTTTTTTTTTTGTCTAACTTTATCTCTGGCCTCTTTCTGAGACTAGTAACGTGTTGCGAACGAAAATTCAAACATTGGGTGGTAGGGTGGCGTGGGTAGTTGGTCAATCAAGTACCGACATCCGCGATCTAACTGGCGTTCAATGGCTAAGAAGGTTTTGTATTCCTGTATTTCTCTCTCCTTATTGCTGCGTAAAGTCACTGCGATATTGGTCACTGTCACAAAAGATGGCTTTTGGAACCACTGCAATATAAACAGAGACTTGAATGACGAGAATTTGAAATGCCATATTTAATCTGGGATTAATGACCTCGCATGAGACGTCACGGAAGTTGAAATGTGTGCGATTAGCATCGAGAACAGTAAAGTCGTGCAGAGATTGAGCATTGAACTATTGGGATGGTTTAGCAATGTCTCTGTTACGCGCCAGGCCAAATTTGTCATTCAAGAGAAAGACATCTTCCCTTGAAAAGGCAGAAAATCACATGAAATTTACTGTAGCCTTTTTTGGAGATTCTGGCGTCGGTAAAAGTTCGATCATTCGAAATCTTGTAGGTGAAGGTTACATTCAAGAGCATATACCAACTGTGGAGGAATTTTATGCAACGCAGATGATCTACAGGAACAAGACCTATGAATTTGACATCATTGATTCATCTGGATCGTACGAGTTTCCTGCTATGAGAAGAATAGCGATTCAAAAAGCC